TGTCGCTGTTTATCCAGCATCGTCGAAATTGCAAACACTCGCCATTGATGTGCAGTTTCCTCCGGCTGGCTGAACGAATGTTTATACATAGACGTGAATTTGGGTTAGCAGTTAAACTGCTGTTGCCAATCATCAACAAATGATATCATATGTTAATATCCACAATACGATGACGATAAGAAGATTCATAAAGTAAAGTAGTACATCCATCTGAATGAATATGCATCTGCCACTTGAGCTGAGGATTGCATAATAAAAAATTCATGGAATCGTAATAAGCACAGTACTTTGGGTGATGATAACCGTTGACGGTGCAATTCTCCAGGTCTATGTCATTTTATTCCACATGTTACCGGATAGTAGTATTATTGTAGAGTTTAAAACTTGATCCACTAAAACAAGACTCGGAATGCTGACTGGCCAGTTAATGGCCCAGTTTTTAATTGTCGTAGTAAATTCGATTAATGGGTAAAATTACACTAATCCTGTGAAGTTAGTTTTTTCCGGACTTCTCTTTGTAGTTTTTGATTAATTGAACTCTGCGATAAAATACCTTACTCATGATAATAAACACAGACATTTAATTAATGGATGATGGCTTTAATTTGCTGTGTAGTGAATAGTTTCGTAGAGAATTGGGTCATATTGGAACAGTAAGTATGGTACTGGAACTGGATATGGCTAACATATCCACTGGGCATCAAAATCGGGCCCACTTCCCGGAATCATCGCCTGAATATTTAATTTGACAATTAATGAATACCAACTCACAATAATCCGGCCAGAATGTTTCATCGATTGTAAATAAAATACACAATAGTATAATTTTAGAAGTTTAGTCAAAGTGCATTAACACAATAATAATAAAAATTGAATTAAAATGTGATCCCACACAATATGTACATGTGTCAACATAGTTTTAATCCAAGAGGAAATGCACCTCTCTGTTTTTTATTGGCTTTGTACAGTGTTGACCGACTCTGTGCTTCAACAAAGTAAAATTATCCAACTTCCGTTGAAAAATTGAATTACTGAAAGGAAGGAGGAGACATGCTTTTGATTTTTTTAGATTATGTTGTTGTGCAGAGATGGATGATGAATTTGTTGAAAATCAAATCAACATTCCGCATTGGGCTTCTTCCTACTTTATTATATAACAAACCCAACTAAACATGAAGTACTTTAACCAATAATAAAAAGTCAACAAATCCATTTATTTACAAGTCACAAAAAAATATGCAGATGATGTGAGTTTAACTATATTTCCCTGCGATAAATTAACCACCACCACCACCTCACATGAATATGTTAATTAGTTGATTTACTGCAATCTCATCCATTAATATGAATTCATACACACATTTTAACAATGGAATCGAAGAGCACTCTTACTGTCCCATAAATGATGAGACACAACAACACAAAGTGGTACACAGAAGACAAAGAAAGATGGATAACTAAATGAGGAAGTGTAATGTTTGGGTTGTTATTTTATTTTGAGATATTTGGTTTACAATAAAGAAAGTGAACGCAATAAAGTGACGAATAAAATACGTAGAAATGAGAACAACTTTTAATAAATTCTTGAAGATAAATGTAATTGAAGAGTAAAAGAAACCAGAATAATTTAAGGGTGTCCACAATTACATGGAAATGGTAATTTTTGGTTATCTCAATCACCATATCGGTGCAATGATGTAATGCATTGCACGAATTTAACTACAGCCTTTACACTTTTTGCACTTTTAGCTTCATCTCCACTCCATACATGTCCATGTATTTTATTAATAGGAAAGTGTACAAATTATAATTTAAGATTTGCTCACCAACTCGCAAAACCTGATAATTATCGCACTAATACGACGTATATAACGTACATAAGTACGACGTATGTATTATCTCTCTCCCACTGATAACTCAGGGTTTTAAGAGGTACCCATAATTTGCACTAGCAACATTTAATCAAATATGAACATTCACGGCCATTAATTACGTAAATGTGTGAGACGCCAGAATTTTCCGAAACCTTCAGAAAGCAGGCAAACAGTAGATAATAAGCTGAATTTTTGACATATTTTCAAAATCGATACCATGTCGAAATATGTCCTTGTAAGGTTGCAAAAATTATAGTAAAATATGGGTTTGAAGCTGCTTAGATAAGGAAATATGCAAAGAATTGTCGAATGAACGGAAGGAAAATATTGATTTATATTAAGCAAATATTTGTAATTAAAATCACTTTAAATAATTATCTTAATTTGTTGAAAATCTACATGGAAAATTATTTGTATGCATCTTAAGGAGTGATGATTAATTTGGGTACCACAAAGTATAGTAGATTGCATAACACAATATAATAATCTTTTCTAGCTCATTCATAATTTCTTATCGACTTACTCAAACTGCATCCTGTTCAATTGTCAGTTGTATTTAGTAGTAAATCGTAATTGTAATAGTAGTAGCAGACTTTGTTTATCGTTTTCGTTATCACATTTCTTACTATTATTACTACTGCACTACTTTTGTGACAATGTTTTGACCACAGATTAAATTACAGCAATACAGAAAGATGCTTATTATACCGACGTGAACCTCTGAATTTGATCCTTATGCTTATCAAAAAAATAAGATGTACTTACCCATTTTATTCAGAAATCCAAATGTCCGTCCTTTACTAGTAAATCAACAATTTATGATGACCTGGTCGCTTGGATTTTCCCCTGATAATTATATCGATCAAAGTACTATGCAAATAGTTTGCAATAATCGTTCTTGACTATTGAATAAGAACTTTTATGCACAAATTTTTAGTAACTTTAGTCTACAACTAGTTCAAAGGTGATAGAGTAAAACATGAGTCTAGGTAAATTTCGAATGTTGAAAGATAAACCTTGGTTCGCAAAAATTTGCTGGCTGTGACAATGGCTGTGAATAAGTGGTGAAAAATTTACTCGCATCTAAGATATCACACTGGTTGACAAATTTACTGGCTGTGCTCACTGGAAATCTCACATTCAGTCAGTTTAAATATTTTTTAAAACTGTAACCATTTACTGGAAATTTACGAAGATTTGTTATTGGTTCTCACGGTGAACTTTCCAATAAAATAAGCAGTCCTTTAATGGATATATTATGTAACAGCGTCAACGTCGTCCCCTGCACCACCGCGATGACTTTCTAATTCGGTCTCACCAGCAACCCGATAAAAAATCTGAGAAAGCAACCAATTTTCAAAGACCTGGAGGAAACAAGAACCACAATTGCTTTCCCGACAAACCGGCGAAATTATGTCCTCTTTACTGGGCGTGTTCGGTTTAGCAGCAAACTCTTTCTCTTTAGCATACGTATTGTGCATTAAGTGTTCTGGGTATCAGTCCCCGAAATTAAACGATTTTGTTCTCCTAGAATGAAATTTAATTGAATGTCCTGAAGACCCGATCAAAGAAGAACATGAAGAATATCTCGACGGAACCAAGAAGGAATTGAAGGAATCGAATAACGTAACAAACTGGAATTTCAGCAGCCGCCGATCTTTCGCCTTGTTGATGAAGCACTGAGAAATTAACTAAAGTGTAAGTGAAACAAGGCTCGGCTGCTGCTTCTGCTTTTGCTGCTGGACTTCTGAATAGACCAAACCTTGTTTAAAAAAGTGGGGAACGGGTTAAAAGTTTAGCAATATATTATGAGTTTGCTTTTGCTTCTTCCCCAGCTAGCCTATGGCTTTTTGGGGATGGTGAGTTTGGTTAGCTCAGTCAGCGTATAAAGAACTTGATGATGAATCAGGAGCCGCACCAACCAAACCAACCCAGCAAGAGGAGGAAGAGAGAATAACCAGTGCAATATGCGGTAATAGCCAGATGAGGCAGTCAGAGATTCGCTCAACAGCGGCGGACAACGCTTGCATACGCTTCTCAATCCCTTTTCGACACAAAAATTGGTCATGTCGTCGTCGTCGTCGATTTCAGGAACATTACTTGATACGAGCTGGGTGTGCCGTGGCATTCCCCTCTGTTTTGGCGGAAATGGGGCGATTGTTAGACTTATGCTTGAATTTGAGACTAAATGAGACCTTTCAAGATAGTCCGAGATGACGCTATTGTTCAATAAGGTCCACATCTTGTAAATTTTTATCTTCTTCATTCCATGAAAATATTTGAGCCAGCATTTTCAGAACATTTCCAGAAGATCTCATACATCAAGTGAGAAAATATGTGTAAAGATTTGGCTCCCTAAATTTCCCTTGGTTTTCATGGGGAGTCCATGAATCTGGCAGTGCACGGAAATAGGAAATCAAGCAACATGTTCGGTATGCAGTTCACTGGGTGGTGAAAGTGCTTTCTCCGGGAGAGAGAGAGACGGGATGGATGGATGGACATCGTTTTCTGGGTGTGCTACATCCTACCACACGTTAGAGATGTGTGTGGTGATATAATTGGGTGCAATCGCAATGCAACCCTTTCAGTACAGATTTGAGAAGTGAGCCAACAAGCATACCATGCCACACAGCAGAATATGTAGGAACAAGGTTCACCACCTACACAATAATGCATACACATTTGCAATGTTGGATAAAAATGCAGTTATTGCTTGTTATTTGTGTACGTGGTATTATCCAACTTGTTGTCATCTCACTGCTCAAGGAAGAGGAGATAGGACAGGTTTATATTTTGATGAGGAAAGTTGCATAAAGATCAGGATTTGGCTTTACACAGAGTAACTTCGTAAACATGTAATTTCCATCATTCCTCGTTGTTGTTGTATAATGAAAATTGGGAGAAATTAAATCTGCATATCGTGGCAAAATAATATGGCAAGATCGAGCGTGACTGCGAAAGAGTTGAATGATTATTAATGTGACGTTTTGGTGGATGGAGGCGATGTACACGTAACATCATCAGACATGTATACGAATCATGATCATGATTATTATGATTATTATTGAGACATTAGGAGTTTGTGTGCTGCATTATTTTCAAATTAGAACAAATAAATTCACTGGGTATGTAATGTCATTCGGAAGGATTTATTATTATCTAGGTCAAATTCTAGATGCATTTGTGCACCGAAATTCATAGTTTGGTTCACCATTTTAACCCTTATATCATAAAATAATGTTCGTGTAACTAAAAAAGATTCGGAAAGTTGGATTTATTATTATATTACGATAACCGGGAACACAAAAGCCGTAAAATTAGCGATTTGGCCTTGAAATTTATAATTACATAAAAGTTTTGTATAACTAGATATTGGTTCATAGTTAATACAGTATTCATGTGATGATGATGATTACAGTTAATGCGAATTTTTCACACTAACCACTTATATACGATGTATAATAGTCTTCTAGTACATACATTTTGTATAATAATTGATAAATATATAGGGTAATTTCTTGCTCTCGACTATTCAAAGCAGCTCTGCGCGCACTGTGCAGTAATATTTGAAATATCGTAAATGATAAGTATCGGTTGATGAAAATTAGTTATACATCTATATAGGACATTTTGTATCATGTTGTGTTTCGTTCTATCAAGACTAAAAATCTAAAGTTGATTCTTTGTACGCTATTTCGAAAGTATATAGGTAGGTAGCTGTAGTATTATTTCATCACTTATGAACGCTACTTCAAATTTGATTTATCCTTTTGGTTATTCGGATGAGTGTTTTTACGACGAGTTGTGATTTTTAACGGTTTCGAAGTCAGAAATTTGGTGACCACTCTGGCAGAATTTGGATGCGTGCCTTGGTGCGTTGGTTCACTCTAATCAATCGTTATCAGACTCTCCTTCGCTAAAAAGTCAGAATTTCATAAGAAAATGATTAATTAAATAGTTAATGATAAAATAAGCGAAATGGTACAAACTATTTTTAAGTGAAACACGTACCCACTAGAATAACAATTCGTTGTGGATTGCCTCATGTATGGAGCTGTAGTCATTTGGCTGTTGAATTAGAATATTTTGTACATTGATTAATTGATCGATGAAATGTAATGTAAATACTGAAATGCTTTGATTTTTGTGCAGTACATACCCAAGCCGACGGTAATGGTTAAACCATTCTTCGACCATCTGAGCAACCAACAAAGGCCGCTTTTGAATTCGTTGTCGACATACCTACAATAAATTAAACCATTCGATAAACTGTATAGAAAATGGCTTGCATTCGGTGAGGTAAAACTAACCATAACTCCGTTTTCGGTAAAAGCAACATCCAGCCATTGACTAAGAATGAATTCCTCTTTTCCGATCTGAAATAATAGTGGGAAATTGTTAAACTAATTTTTCATTGTCATTATAAAAAGTCAATTCACCTCGGATTGTGTAAGGAATTGGATAGGAAGAACAGCTCCATCAACCGTTGTGAGCGGAAGATAAATGGATCGCTCATTGACTTCAGGACCGAGCTGAGCTGCTGAATCCACTCTAGCCAAGGGGTCACAGTCAGGTTCCATTGGTACCAGGGCTGAAAAATGACCTCTGGTGTAGCCCAACGTAATGGGCCACCTCCAGCAGAAACTTGTCTCCCACAGGAGCGGCAGGTACACTCCTGTCATAATTAAATCAGTTAAACCGAATTCCGTTAATAATAATATGATGAAGAACAATGAAAAGGTTTGTATTAAAGCAAGGAGCATTATTAACCTTCATAACGAGCAAATCCAATAGCTTCCCCTCGGAAACTTTTGACATATTTGACCCCGTAAACAATGATAGGGCGCCTCAAGATGTGTGCTAGTGCAAAAATATGAAGTTGTTCCAGACTAGATCCTGGTTGACTTGCTAGTGACAATAGCTTTGCCCAATCCGTCGAACACTGCGCTTCATTCAGACTGTAGTTAAGATGCCTGGCATGATGGAGCTCGCTTTCTTTCCAACGCTGGTAAAATCTGTGTAATAAACAATAAAATGTTTAAAAAGAAAGAAGCGCATGATAATAGTACAATGCAGAAATTATTAGTTTGCTGTCTGTAGCATTAACGTACTGTGTGGTACAATCATGTAGTGAGTCCGACAACGCTCTTCGCAAGCCATTGTCACGGTCAAATATTCCCCAAGTCGCTTGAAGGATTGAATCGAGCAGACAATCACCAGCGGAACGATTCCATAAAGCATATAGTCGAGAATTAAGTTGTTCGGAAACTTCGATGGACCAATTAATGATTTGTCCATTTTCCAACTCTTTTTGTACATCGCGATCCAAAATTTCATCAAATAGTGTTTCTTGCGTTTCTGGCGTCATTTCATCGATTTCTAGAGGAATTATATATAAAATTAATATTTAACAACATTCCACTTCCCAGACAATAGTCCATTGTTTACTTCAAGTTATTTATCAGTAAGTTTTATTACCAGAAGGCAGAGTAAATGTGACTAATTCAGATGTGTAATGACAGCGTAATGTTCCTTTTCTTGGACGAATGGATGCCATTGCGAAACGTCGAATTTCGAGGGCAACGTTGGGTGCTGCAAAAAGAACAAGTGAGGCTGGTAAATTTTTAAATAAAAATACAGGCAATGAGCTGGTCAATATTGTAAAGAAATTTTATGATTTTTAGATTTAAAATCAATGAGTGTTAGGTCATTCACCACCAGATATATTATCAATTCTAATGAATAAATGGAAATTATCAAATGCTGGTATACATAATGGAATAGAAATTCATAGTTCGCATTTTACAATTTTAAAGATGAATTGATAAAGTGGTAAATACCGGCATATGACGGGACCCTCTTTGCCACGGGCTGAGTCCCATCCACTTGTGACAATAGCGTAGCCAATACATCCTCCTGATGAAACCTGTAAATATGAATTTAGAGAATATACATACAAATTTATATATAAACAAGATCTGTAACAGTAATTTTAATAATTATGCAAATGATAGCTACCACTAAATGTCTTACCTAATCGCCAAGTGAATGAGAGTAAACCCAATATCAAATGCAGAGGGTCGATCCAGCAGCGCAACTTCAGACTCTGATAACTGCCTTGTTGGATCCCCTCCAGACGACAGATATTCTTCAACAAGTTGAACATTTCCGTCCACAACCCCACAACACGCATCCAACCATCGACGATCCATTTCACTCCCACGAAACAGTCTCATGCGCATCGTGTCCGAGTAGTTCGTGTTCAGAGCATTGCCCTCGTACCGTGAAGTCTCAAAATTTCTACTACAATTATTACTAACACCTAGTGATAAATTAGCCAACGCCGGCGTCATCACAGAGTCCACACAAAGATTGGTTTGTGAGAACAAGCTACCATTGTTGACTTCATTTGTTCCAAGCGACATGGCTTGATCTCCCGACTGGGTACATTCACACATTATACATTTTACAGATCTTGGCCAATTATCATACGTGCACACGGGACAAGTCCATTTTTCTTGATTAGCATTACTAGGATTATTTGGACTATTTGATCTAGTGTATTTCTCAGCACCTTGAGGAAAAGTGGTATTAATTTTGGCAGGAGAGTCGGCCGGAGAACAATTCGGCAGATTTGGTCTCTTGATAGACTCCGTGTAATTTCCAGTCTCCGCCAACTCTGAGATCTTTAAAGATTCCTGAATTTTTGGGACGAATGCATCCTCCTCCTCCGAAGCATCATTCAAGCACTGCGAGTTGAATTTTGTGTTGCAATTTTTGCAGGAAGAAGCGTTCATCCAGTTTTGAGTGTAGCACGAAGGGCAGGTCCAATTCCATCGATTTGCCCATTGTTTGGAACCTAGTTTGTCATGAGAGGAAGGAGTTCGGCGCTTGGGACTCGAAATTTCTTGCAGTTTGTTTGATGTGTACTTTTGCTGAGTCGTTCCACCGCCAATTACTCTGGACGCACAGGGACTCAAATGACAAGCACCTTGAATTTCCGATGATGAAGGAATTAATCCTGATGATGTTTCAAACTGGGATGAAACGATAGGTAGTCGTAGACTTTTGTTAGAAAGAGGAATTATAGAATCTTCGCTCGGGAAGGAAGACAAGGGTGGCGGGGCCCCCTCTTCTATGACTTCTAGTGGTTTTGGTGACCTAATACAGAATTTTATGGAAATTGTATATTAATAATTAATCTTAGACTTGTGTTTCGTGGTGCATTTTCATGTAATATACATCCAACCATAAATAATTTAAAACAATTAACTCCCTCACCTGCACATTGTACATTTTATAGCTGATTGCCAATTCAAGAAGGTGCAGTAGAGACATTCCCATTTCCTCCCATCACAGCTCATTTTGCATTCAGATTATAGACTAACGTTCGCACGAAAAACCTTGACGGCGAATAACTCAAAACGGATGATATTCACGCAATCTTTCAAAACACAGACGAAAGGCATCCACACAAGTAACCCTGTAAAATTAAGTAATTAATAAATCAAATTAACATCGAACCTCAGTTTTTTAATTTTCGCAAATTATAGTTTTCTTACCTAATATTTATAATCACAGTGAACGATAAACTTAATTACTGCAGACTTAAAATAGATACATAATAAAACAATTTACAAATATCGACAAGTACTAATAAAAATAAGAACGAGAATTTAAAAAAACAAAAACAACAAGAATTGCTAAAATTGTAGAAGAAATACTTGTCCAACTTTACACAGATTACAAATCACTCGAAGTACAATGAAATACTTCCTTTACAAATTGTTCAAAACTTGAAATTTGATTATTTTGAAAATGATCAGCTGAATAATTTGTTGTTGTCTATTCCGGAAAAAAAGTAGAGACATAAAAAATGAAGCTATAAAATCACCCTGTTTGGTTGCTACTGTTGCTAGGCTAAAAACGAAATATATAGGAGGACATGGTTTCTATGGTGGAGGTGGTGTCCAAAAAACGCCAAGTGCACTTTACGATTGAAAATCAGAGAGAATGTATTTGATAAGCTGGAAGTGAGATAATTTGCCGTTTGGATGACGCCAGCGTTTGTTAGAAAACTTTGGACAAATAGAAGAATAATTTCTTTGCTCAAATCCAGACGAAATTGGCACTGCAATTTATAGAAAAAATTAAAAATTAGACATTATTCCCCATTATTTTCTGGGAACCTTAAATTTCTTACGTTATTAAAACAAGGAGATGGACACCTGACACCTAAGGTTTGGCTGGTAGTGTCAAAATTGACACTACTAAAGTTATCACACCACTTGTATAACCATCTTCCTCGTTTCCATGAAAAGATATCACGGCCTATTTTATGTGAATTAATAATAATTAATAGCGTATTTGTCGTAATTTTTAGCATAAAAAGTTAATATCTTACCTCACCACGAGCCGGTGAGTGACTTCCCTTCTTGCTGAGTATTAGAAAAGCACTGCGCTGGAGGATAATGAACCCTCCTGGAAAGTAGCACAACCACTAAATCACCTTCTTCGGCTTTCTTGCTCTTCCTGAAAAATTAAATATGATCATAAGACTTGATAAGTTTCAGTTATCAGCACGCCAAAATTCACAAGAATTGGAATCAATTCAAAAGTAATTGCATATTTTTTTAATTCCAAGACAAAATTTACGGTGCCCTATTTTCTAACTACTTAACCCTGACGTATGCACATTGTTTCAGTGGTGGGAGCATGTTGGGCAACCTTGATTACACGACGTCTTATTTTTATAGAGGACAAAAACTGCTAGGATCGATAACTTTGCCAATGTAATGATTTCTGTTATCCGTCTGCGTGCTCGATGTTACGTATGTCGGTAACAACGTACCATATACTTTGAATAATATACATATAAAAAAACCAACTCATTCGAATAACTACTAAACAAGATCTCACTTAAGACATAAAATTATACGAGCTGAATATTATTATTAAAAGCCACATATTACTTTCACCATTTACGCGAATAAGTACTTATGACGGTAATGAAATTAAACACGTCGTCGTCGTCTCGTCTATCTACCTAAATGATGAATTAACAATTAAACAATGAAATGATAATATTATGAGATACTTTTAAAATATATTAAAACATGATTCAAACTATTACTGCCAAATGAAGTGCAAAATCACTAGAACATTCTACATCTCCCATACAGCTCATTGTTTTAAACTCTTTGTTGATTGATACAAAATAAATATGGCAAGTTTTTTAAACAAAATATTGCCAACATGAATTATTAAACACCGTTTTATTACTTTATCACAGAACTCTAGATTGATTTTTTACTCGGTTTAGCAAATTAGACTCTGAACTCAATACTATATTTTCTCAATCCTTTAAAGAATTTATGTTTCCTCTAAACTAGTCTAAACGTCGTTTTACTAAACAAAACTTTTTTACACCAATTAAAACTGTAACACCAACCACAACTACAAACACTCTAGAATTTTCACTACCAACATATTCCGTTAGAACGTTATTATGTCGCAAATATTCGATATCATTTTTAAGGAAACGATCTAATTTCTTACTTTTTCTGGTATATTATTTCCGATCCAGAAATTTTGCACAACGTTTAATCCTTTTTTTTATATTCAAACGAAGAGTAAGAACCAACCAACATTCACATTTTTACCATCATATTTTTTCTTGCTCCACTGAATTATGTATGTATGCTGCTTAATATAAATAATATAATGGCTGTTAGTTGTTGTTCAACAATATGATTCCTCTTTTTAGTTGGTAGAGATTTTCACAATTATTTTATCTTGTTAAGCAGTGGTGGGATCCCTCTTTCTTTTATTTCGTGCCCCTCACTTAACAATAACTTGCCGTATTTAATAGCACACGATGAATACCTTTTGCTTAACCAACTTGCTTAAAATACTATATAGCCTTCGTCTTACTTCTTCCCTTACCCATCCACGTTAACTTAATGGCACAATAATAAAAGAAATTTTTTTGCCTAACTAACTGTGGTGTGGGTTTTGAAGTGAGGCCGTATATAGCCGTATCTATGTACATAGTGTGCAAATGCAATATCACAAACTATATGCACGTATTGTGTGTGTATACTCGTCTCTTAATAACAAACTGCACCAGTAGTAGGATAGCTTTAGTTCAAAAAAGTTAAATTCAACCCTTTTGCCAAAACCTTGTTATAGTCGTTGTAACCTTTTCTTTCATGATGCGAATCAATCTCATCCTGCAGAATTAATGCTGCCACCACGACATTAACATATATGTAGATACATATATCTACGATCCCGCTTAGAGCGGAGGCTATTTTTCTAATTAAGTAATTCTTCACTACGTACAGTAGTGGTATCTTCCTAGTTTTTTTGTGTGTAGTAGATTTCACTTTTTTTTATTTGGGTAAAAAGGCCCGTGCTCACCTTCATATTGTACTTAATCAGATTTGTGTAAAGGAGTTGAGAGGTGGGGTTGAATTAAAATTATTGGGTGAGAGGTTGTAAAAGAAATTAAAACTGCACTTTTCTCCTCTCCTCTCTCTCTTCCCGAGACGATATGAAATGAGCTAAATTATGAATGAGAGAGAGAAAGAGAGAGACAAAATACAAAGGGTTTGAGAACGCAGAAGTAGTAGAATGAAGGCTATTTGGAATTTGGAGTTACCTTGGTGGGCAGATTGGCCCTGGTTTCGTACTTCGTAGTCGTTGCTTGTTCTTTTCTATATACGCGAATATCTCGTATTATTAGCAGTAGTGGTGGAGAACATTGTAGAGCTTTTGTAGCACACACAGAGAATCCGAAGTGCGGGCATAAGCGTTGGAAAATAGCGAATTCACTGCTCGTCGTGAAGTGAATATGTTTTTGCTACGACGAGCACCACCACATCACACGACACAACGTCACAACTCCATAGATTTCAACTTTTCCATCGTGATGTTAGCTAGCTGGTTGGTTTAATTTGAAGGTAAAATCACTTCAGTGATGAAAGGAGTAAACAAACAAAGATTTTGCTCGGACATGATGGAGATGATAAATGGTGATTTGTTTTTGTTCTCTTTGTCACTATGATTATGATGTTGTGACAATTTGTAGCAAAGGGAAGAGAGGAGGTTGCGTTTGAGAAAGTAAATGTCACATCTTATTATATGTACGGAGGATCTGTGGCAGTTTGTAGCAAAATAAGCTCAACTTGGGTATATGTACATGCAGCATGAGTAAAACCACTTTATATGCAAGTTAGAAATCGTGTTCGCTTTAAACTTGGTTAAAATATCGTGATGGATGGTGATAATAAGTTGTGACATTTAAATGCAAGCGAGAAGATAGCGTGGTCTTGGTCCAATAAAATGAGACTTTTTACTTGAGGTTATGAGATGGGTTTCAATGTTTACAGGGCCACCGTACAATCGCAATTTGCCTCAATTTTTCGTGCTCCACAATATATTATGCTGCTGCTCTTGGTGGTGGTATATTTAGTTGATTAAAATTTTTTTAAAATTATAATTGTATGGGTTTCGAATTTATTGGAAGTTGGTAAATTCTTGAAGAAAGTCTACTGAACAAACAAACCAAATGTTATTTGTTTTTACTTATTTTCGGACTTATAACTTACTCCATATGGATGGAGTAAGTTACTTGTATTATACATAAAGTGAACGAGTTATGTACTGTGCGGGTGGAGCTTAAACCTACGGCATCCTGAAGTACCTTGTGCTGAGACTAGGGTTTCTCATGAGTTTAGCTCCATTCGCACAGCACATAACTAACTCACTTCAAGTCCTTTAGATCCATGCTTCAAGTATAGGTTTCTTGCTTTCACGTCAGGCCGCAATGGTTTTTCCAAGCATTTCGTCTCATCATCGTACAGCTAATTGCATACATTCCGTTTTGAGACGACAAGTAGCAAGTTTGTATATTCTTTTGTATGTTTTACACTGCATTACATTGGTTTGGTAGACGATATTTTATTATAATATCTGAAATAACATGACATTTCTTTCAATTTCTTGTCCAAATTGATGCGAATTGATCCAAATTGCGACAAAATTGATACCGAATTAGTTTCACTATCATTCCATACATGTGTCGTGATGAAATTAAATTCTGGATATATTGACGTTTCCTCATCCTTCAGACAGACGAGTCCGGGCACGGAAGGAAAAAAATGTGAATGTCGTGAATAATCCTCTTTTCTTCTTCATTCATACGCTCAGAATGCTACTGAGGAATGCTCCATGACATTTGGATGCCATTACAATGTCCATCAACGAGTCACTTCTGCAGATTGAATGTTTTGTCGATGAGATAAAAGTATTCCAGGAATATCGTTCTTTGAGATACGGTTTTCCCAAATTAAATGGCCTTTAATTTATCAAACGAAGCAAAAATACATGAAAATCGTTAAGGAATTTCTGGGCTTCGACTGACGACTCAATTCAGGAAATCTCACTCCCTCCTTTAGCCATAAAATTTCTAATCAGCTCTCTGTGACTTTTGCTCTGAAATAGAATTGTTTGTGTATGTAATTATGTATGCATGTGGGTTGGGTAGATGTGTGCCCAAGACCTCTTAAATCCGTCATGCATTCTTATAGCAATTTAGCAAATAAACACCTCACGTTATTTATTAATGAGCATGAAACAAAGTCTAATCATGAGTCCTTCGCACCTGTTATTTAATTATGCTGCTGTAAACTCGGGACAAAAGTCAATATCTCAAACGACTGGTGCAGGAAGGCACTTTTCCCCGTATTTCTGCTTCGCGAAAAAGCGCACGATTTCCCAGCACTCGTCGTCGGCGTCGTCGTCGATGTCGTCGTTAGCATTCGACTCTTACCAGAGCTTTGTACATACGAAGGCACGATACAAACGAGTATATAGTCGTCGAACCAGCCTTGCCAGCGTATCGAATCGACATCCACATGCTATATGGCCTGAGATTTACTCGTCCTGGATTGAATTCACCACACCACCATTAAGAATAATAATAATAATAATAATAGCGGGTTGTATGCGTATCCCAGCCAAATGCAGTTACATTATTGCGGAACATATCGTATGATATTGAATTGCATAACACCACTTCTACTACTGTTCACATACATAGAATTTGATCATCATCATCGTCATTATACCCACCTCTTTTCGTTCGGTACACATTACACATGTTGTAATGGAGCTTTATTCGTATTAAATCTTGGATTGGATTTAGCAGAGTCCATTGTACCGCGTGTGTAGCGATGATCTCGCAGCATAACCCTTTATCCCAGCTAATATTGTGATTCTTTGCGAATACAGAGAGGCTTCATGCACAATATAATCCATCCAAGACTCGCACTCCTCGTCGGGTCGGTCAGAGCTGGTGAGTACGACAGACTGCTCTTCTCCTCTGCTGCCTGCCTGGTAGGTGAGTGTGCCAATGGAATGTTGGTGTGTAGAATCCGATAAAAAATAACTTTCTTCTTGCTTAAAGTGGGAGAAGAAGAAGAAATCAGGTTCTGCCTGCTGGAGGAAGCTCAAGGCCTTCATCTCAACATATTACTTCACATTTTAGAGAACAACCATCGTCATTCCGTTGCTCCATCCATCCATCCACAAATCCAGCACAGGCTGGTTCAACTGTTGACTTGACCTTTCGATAAGATTGGTTTCTTACCCTGTCGAGCAGTGAATAATTACTATCTCTCATTTAAATTCAGTATTCAGTTGATTAAATTTGAAAGATATCGACGACTCTTCTGAAGAGCAACAAAGGCGAACAACGTGGGAATAGAGATACACACCATCCTCGTCGTCTTAAGTTGGGGTCCCTCTTCACATAAATCTGGTGTGATATTGCTGCTGCTGTGGGTGGAATTGGATTGATGGTACGATAGAGGACTGAATCCATATCGTGCACAGACACAAGGAATAATAATCTGCTCCCGTATTATAATAAGTATCGAACTGGATCTGGAGTTGTTGGATGGATAGTTCGTTCAATGTGATTTCCAGCACGACATGAGCTTCAGTCGATAAGTTGTCCCGTCCACTCCCAGGCTGGTTCCGCGCTTCGTTATCCACAACCAATTTTGGTGACTGACCTTTGAGTCCCATTCGAAGAGGTGAGTGGCAATTTTTATCTATTTTTTAAATTGTTTATTTTCCCCAATAAATTTTTCATTGCATAATAATATTTAAATAAGTTAAATATTTGCACACTGTGGTTTTCATCAATCTCTGAATACCCCTCGTACAATTAGATATGTACCTCTCCTACGGGCAAGCAGGATAGATTTTTTTTGTTGAGATCACACGAGATTTCAGCCTCATGTTGATAATAGCCCATACTTTTAGCGAACGGCCTTGTCACGGGTATTAGACCGACATGAGATGTTTTGCAATAGTGGAAAAGAATCGTAGTTTTTGTTGGCGTGTTGCATGTTTTTGGATGAACTCCCGTGTAGGCGAGGTAGATATTTGGGATAACGTGGAACTTGAGTGTCATTGCCAATTGTCTCAAGTTGGGTCATCTGCCTGATATTATAGAGAGCACAAAACCTTGGTCTTATTTTTGATCTCTAGATGAACCCAAAAGTCTGCATTTATGTAATTTAGATTGACTCTGCTGCTAGAACGTTACAAACTTTTGTCGTAAAACGGTAGAGAATTTTATTGTCATTTTCGAATTTAATCTGCAGGTTTAGTTTCGCGTTAGATACATCGTTTTATAATTTATTTTGGAAACCGTCTTGTCAACATTCCTACTTTTGTAAAACAATTTCCTCAATTCGCAGAAGCCATAAAAATTATTATTGATCAAAATACAGTACTTTCCAATTGTTTAATAAAATCACAATGCGTTACTCTTTTTTACATGTGTATGTATTAAGTAGAGTAAAATTGAATTGAGTTTAACTAGTTGAAGTACTATGCATATTGAACAAATATGTTTTTATTTGCCTGGAAGAATTTTACGACTTTATGACATGACTTATTACCAAACTGATAGCACACGACCTACAAAATTCAGACATGCTGTACAAAAATCTCTGATGTTGTAATTAAAGAAAAATACGAGTGATTTGGATGATGAGGTCATTTAGTTAGTGGATATCAATAACCGATTCAGTCTAGAGTTGCAATGTCTCATTTTAGTGCTTTATTTTCCATTCGTATGCACACACAAACATGTGACTTTTGATGTCATCAGAGGACGCTTGGTACGTGTTGTGAAGGATAATAATGTCGCAATAAGTCGAAAGAGTATCGGGTATTGAGTTCCCTTCATCGACGGCGAATGAGCAGTTCCAGGGTATCAGCTCAAGGTTGAAACACGCAGACGTGTGTACATATAATATGCACTTATTTCGGATAAAGGGCTAGCGAGAGGGTTGAAAATAAAAACAAAACTCAGGATTGTGCATAAATATGCTCACCAATCTCCCGACGAAACATCTCATGTTTCAGGCGCCGTTGATTCCATAACATCCTATACTCGCAGGTCGGGAATGACTTTCAGATTGTGACGACAATTGTTACGTTAGCGGTGATATGTACATACGTGATACATACAAATTCAGATTCAAAACAACTCGTCGGTATTTGCCGTCTGGGATTGTAATGGTTACGTATGGAGCTCAGATGGTTCTTTCCAGTATTAAAGCGATAAAGGAATAGTGTCACATAAAATTACCATTATTAGTGATAAAAGATCCCATGACAAATGAATCGATCCATATGGATACAAAGTCAGTAGTCAAGTTGATAGTCGTCTTCCAACAACAGCCCGATTGACTTACAAAAGAGACGTGTGTTTGTATTCATCTGCATAACTATGAACCCAAACCCAAGCCAATGTCAGCTTCACAACATCTTTCATGTTCTGTATCATCTTGTGGCATTTAATAATATATGGAATTAATTTTGTGCTGTAGGTACATATTTTCCATAACTCTTATCATGGTTTAAATTTATATTTAATGAATAAAATCTGTCAGAAATAGATTAAAGAGATATTCAAATATTGAGAATTGGACCACCACCACCACAAATAAATCTATTCAAGTGCCCAACAGTTCTTTTGTCATTTCTTCCACAATTTAAAATTTAGATTAAGAAGTCATCGCTATATGAAATATTTTCCCAGTTTTCACATCATAGAACCACTATTACCATATACTACAAGATTTTGAGATTAAGAGTTCACACACATGACGAGCAAGAACTATAAAACATTATTATCATAAATACAAAACACAACTGGGTTAGATAATCGCCTCCACGAATCAATCTAGTACAACTACTCTGTATTTCATTAACCTCGTGAACTGTCGTACCAGGTTGTTTCACCCAATTTATGTATGAAAATACATAAATTGTCAGGCGCTACAAATTAATAGGTTTTAGCTCAATAAGCGAAAAAGAGATTATGAGTGAGGTGGTAGTTAATGGGCTTTTAATGGATTCTAGATGGGTGTGGACGGCAACGCTAACATGATTCCGGCCGGAAGGATCAACTTGGATGAGCCACGATGGGACCAGAGCACTTACATGGGAAGAGCCAAGCACTTTTTCGTCACAACCAACCCTCTCAACCTCCTCTGCACATCAGATGAGTTGGAAAAATCCAAGGACATTGTCACCAGATACAAGTAAACCACATATTAATTTTTTATTTATTTTTAGATCATTTATATTTCTGTCTAAATTTGAATTATTTACATTTCCAGGAAGGGGGATAACATTCCTGGCGCAACTGAGGATGACATTTGGAGAGCTAAGAATGTTTACGATTCAGCATTTCATCCCGACACTGGAGAGAAAATGCTCTTAATTGGCCGAATGTCAGCCCAGGTGCCATGCAATATGGCCATCACGGGGAGCATGCTCACATTCTACAAGTGAGTACATATAACCAATTTAAAATTGTAATTTAGTATAATCATTGTAAAATTTCTGATTTTGTTTTTGAAATTTGTTTTCACCAGAACAACGCCAGCCGTAGTATTCTGGCAATGGGTTAACCAGTCTTTTAACGCCATTGTGAATTATTCTAATCGGAGTGGAGACTCTCCTATAACGATCCCGTAAGGTCATTTCCTGAATAATTGTGACAATAAAAGCACAATGTACTAATTAATGCCTGTGTTTGTGTTGCAGACAATTAGGAACATCTTACGTTTTAGCTACTGGAGGAGCATTAGCAACTGCTCTAGGATTAAACAGTTTAGTGAAAGTAAGACAAATATATTTTTGATGCAGTAATTGATATTTTTATTTAATTACATTTAGCACATGCGTAATAAAATTATTAATTTAACCCATAGAAAGCTCCTGCGTTGGTTGGAAGATTTGTGCCATTTGCAGCTGTGGCTGCAGCGAATTGTATCAACATTCCTTTAATGAGGATGAAGTGAGTTTTTTTTAACAATTTTTGTTTCATAAGTAAATAATTGATGTGATGTTGAAGTGACAAAATTGCTGGAGAGTCAGCCAGAAATAATGAAAAAATTTAAATAAAAATCGTGATGAAACAGAGAAGTAAATGAAGGGATACCAGTGGTCGACGAAAACGGTAACCGCATTGGTGATTCGAAAGTGGCAGCAAAAACAGGCATCGGCGCCGTGACCTTTAGCCGGATCATGATGGCCTCGCCCGGCATGAGTAGGATTCATTACATACATTTTATTTAAAACTTTTCGGCTGTGATTTTCCCCAACCATAAAAATGTGAAGTTTAAACAAGCCCTGATCACACCTTTGCAATTTTATGAGCTTATGATTTTATGATTTTTACGATTATTACTCCCTCAATTGCAGACTTTTGCACTCGTTTGGTTAAATTGTTTTTAAAATGTTTTCAAAAATTCCCTGTTTAGTTTTTTCAACCTCCCAATCAACATACATACATACATTGTTTTTATACTTTGGTTGTATTTTTGTTTGATTTATCATGGGACGTATGTATGGAAAGTTGTCGCGTGTACCTGAATTTACCTGAATTTACCAGTCCAAATCAGTTTCGAATTAAATGGATGGATGAGATCAATGCCGAATATTTATTTACAATTGGGGTATATGCTTCAGCAACAAAGCTTATTCTCTACCTAGTAAATTGGTGCCTGTACTTAAAAGTTATAAATAATTGGTCTCACGTCGTCAATTTGGGTCTGGTCATCTCCTGGCCAAGCACTCACTCTTCTTCTACAGCTTTTCTTAAATCTTAAATTTCAGAGAACTTCAGGTCGGAATTCCTGTAACTGATGAGGCAGGAAATCGCTTGGGAGACTCGGCAAACGCTGCCCAATCAGGGATCACACAAGTTGTCCTCTCACGCATCGGCATGGCCGTTCCTAGCATGGGTACCTTCACCAGATTCACCACCACCGTCGTTTGCTTATCCTTCCTCTTTGCTCTTGGCCTATTGGATCCTAAACTAATTTTTATAGTCTCATTTAGCACTGCAAAATATAATTTTCCGACTTATTGCAACTTATTTCTTAGTTTAGCTCCGTAAACCTTAGTGCTTAGTTATTTATGTCGTAACATAGATTTTTTTGGCAGCTTCCGGTGTTATTATATTGTTTGCATAACAGCGTGATGCTGAGTGCATTGTGAATAGAAACCGTACTGATTAAATTACATGTGTACATTTCAGTCTTTCCACCCATCATCATGAACCATCTGGAGAAAAAAGGCTTTCTCCGACGATACCCAATGGCCGGAGCCCCATTGCAAATTATTCTGTGTGGTCTCTGCCTGACATTTGCGACACCAATGTGCTGCGCTTTGTTCCCGCAAAAGTCATCCATTTCTGTGTCAAGTTTGGAACCTGAGATTCAGGTAATGATTTTATTTAAATATGCATAATTTAAATGTTGATTAATAGTGACTTATTGCTTATTCGGATCCTTCTTTGAATTTGCAGGAGAGAGTGAAACAACTGCCAAATCCTCCACAAGTCCTTTACTACAACAAGGGATTGTAATTTTACTCTGATAATAATCCATGACTTCTGGAACTCTGAAACTTTCGCTTAACAACGGTGATTTTGTTACAAACGTAGTAAAAAATGTATGTAGATTGCCATCTTACAAGGACGCCATTAATTAACAAAAAAAGTGGCTGGCATATTATGATTTAGTTATTTCAAAGTACTTATTAAATAGATAAGATTCTTCCACAACATACTACTAGCCTGATATTGTAGCTGTAATTTGAGTCGGATGTACATAGTCCGACCATAAGTTCCCGTGAATGCATTTCCGGTGATAAAGCCCAAAGTATTAGAGCTATCTGATAGAAATTTTTGTGGATGAACAAGGTATTAATCTTGTTTAGAAATCATAACTTCGTTTTCACAATTTCCTCCACGGGCTTGTACACAAGACATAAGTCGTGGCGAAAACTGCTCGATCGCGGCACGCACGGATTTCCAGGGAAAAGCGCCGGATCTTCAGTAAGTGCGACCTCAGCCCTTCCACACTTGGGTGAAATTTAGAGCATACTTGTACCTATAATTTTCACCACCAGTCATAATTTAGGGGATTAAGGTCTGCAGATACTGAGCACCGTTCTACGGATGAAAAAAAGTCATGAAAATTCGTCTGAAGCCAGTTTTGGACAATTTTGCACCTTGCGCAGGAACAGGGTCTTGTTGAAAGGTCCAATGTCGATTTTCGGAGGGTCCAGGGTTCAGGTTATTAACGTTTGGCTTTAGGACACTCTGAAAATAATTCTTGGCTTCAACTTGTACCCTTTGCGGTAAAAAACAGAGATTTCATTTCTCCAGCCAACTTGCTCCCATGCACACCACGGTGATGACTTCGTATTGACTTCCGCATACTTAAACGGATGTCAGACTTCTGTACAACAAATATCTGGCCTTTTTTTCTATTAAATTTTTTGCCAACGGTGAAAAGTCTGAAATACTTTTTGCACGAAAATTGGGGCGTACCACGATCAACCTGTGGCCGTCACGAGTTATGTCTTGTCTAATTGCCCGTGGACGAAATCTTGACAAAGAAGTTATGATTTCTAAACAATATTAATACCTTGTTAATCCATAAAAATTTCGAACAGATAGCTCTAATACTTTGGGATTTATTACCGGAAATGCATTCACGAGAACTTATGACCCCACTATGTACTATGATAGTCCTGGATATAGATTTTTTTCCTCTAGCGGGAGACAGTGTTCCTACATCGATTGATTATTATCACCCTGAACAATAAGATAGCTTTAACTTAGTAAAGTAAACTAAATTAATCGTTAATGTACTGCCGTGCCACGGGAAGCTTCTTTGGTCAACCCAGTTGGCAAAGGAATGCGACCCGTGGTCACGAGTGCTGATCAGAATGGTGCTCTTCGATTAGTGTTCGTGATCGTTAAATGAAAAAAATAACGTCACTTACTATTACAAATAATCACTTTTAATTATAAGATTGTGAAATGGTTGATAACTTGCACGTAGTATCGAGTATAAAGAATAAGCAACTTCGACCTGGAACGAGTGATCTATGAAGAATAGTGAGAAGAATTAGTGTAGAGAAGCGTTGACGCTGACGTCGTATGTAGCACAATTAATAATGATGATAAGAAATTATAAATACATGACGAAAAAGCAATGATTATTTGGTGATATATCGTACATAATTAGTTGAGCTACTCGTAAACTTTCTAATTTAATTAGAGTGAGCAATATCGTTGGGCAGAGTATCGATCTTCAAGGAATTGATTGACTTGTTTATTGATGTGGATGTATCATTGGCTGAATTTATAATTTTATTTGTGGAAAACTAGTCTACTACCCACATCTATGATAAGAAAATCTAATGATATGATGAAAAATATGATAATCAGTCCATATTATAGCAAACAATAGGATAAGACATCGAAAGATCACTGCCGATCATGTTTTGTTAAACTTAAAAACAAATATGTTTGACAAGAGCAGCCTTTATTTGAGAGTAAAGCCATTTATTCGTTTAAATTACTTGAATCGGTTGGTTAGGACAAGTGTTTCATGAGAAATTATCCCAGCCCTTTTCATCCACTCAATTTTTAAATTTATTTATATGTAAATTAATTACTGTTAAATTTATCAGTCATACAATTTTATTTTTAAGAAGATTACATAATTGTGACTAAATTTATGTGAGGCAATCAATCAAAGATGTCTCATACAGGTGTATAGCCTAATTAATTACTACTTATTACATGATTTATATTATTACGTATCATCTAAAACTCGACTATTTCGAACCACCCCAATCATACAAGGACAATAAAGTAACAAGTATTGAATAGGATATAATTTTAATTTTATTTAACTACTTATTTACTACCCAATTCATTTCAAATATGGACAACAGCCGCTTACATTCCATTCCATCGGCGTTTCTTTTGGCCCATACCGTCCCCGACTACATAACCACCAAACAAACAACCAAGTTTTCATCAACCTTGATTTGTACTTGCATAACGTCAACCCAAGCTGCAAAGATTGACTATGTCCACTCAATGTCAAAGTCAACTCAGTTACTTAAATGCTCCCCCGACCTTCGGCTTGCAGTTACTTAACACCAATGTAAAAAGCGAATGGTTAAAAGAATTTAAACAATCCGAGTCCACATCCTGCGTAATAAGAATTCCAAAGCCATTACATAGACCAAAATAATATGATTTCCTGCCATAATTACAAAAATTTAAACTCGTAAACATAAACAATAGAGTCTAAATATGTACATATTGGATGTTTGGTTTGGTTCTTGGAATGTGGCTGCCAAAATTTTCCAGGCAAAGTGATGATAGAAAATTTCAGCCAGCAATAATTTGTGGTATGTTTCATTGTTCGGTAAAATAATTTTGAAACAATGATGTTTTGAGAATTGAAGGTATGCAGAATTGCAGAGTTTTCATAAGAAGAATATTTTGTTTGTTTCTCACTAATGTTGAACAACACAACACTTGCTATCTCGTCGATCAAGATTTCTTAGTTTTCAATTCATAAAGAAAGTGTGTCACTTTGTTATTCCAATTGTCATCAGTACAAATTTATTTTCTCTCTCGCCACTACCTAAACATTTATCCAGGCAAACAAGCCAACTTATTTTTTTGGAAAGATAATTCAAAATCCTGCATAATGCAATATATTCTGCTCATCAACTTTGTGCTAATCGTGCTTCCCCACGCCAAGGCGGTGGACTCACCCCGGATGGTCATAAAGGCCTTTAACATGTCAAGTTGTGTGGTCATTAACGGGACGGTTAATTTGAGGCCCTGTATTTGGGATTCGCCAGAAAAGAAAAAGTAAATATTTTTTGTTTTGAATACTTTGTAGATATATACATACATACAGGAATAGGTTGTTACATGTGTAGAATGATGGCATTTAAAAATTAATTGAAATTTTTTACTTATTTTTTTGTAGCAAATCAAGTATTGCCCCCCAGTACGTGAAACAACAGGTGTTGTTTCACCGTGTTAAATTGCAAGACCTGGTCGAAGACGCAACCGACGAAATAGGCGTGGACAACTATAGAAACACCTACTTCATTTGGTTTATAAACGGGTCGGATACTTGCGTCGTGCAAAAAAATTCGACGGTGGGGACTGGGAGCTGTAGGCTCCCGAGGGCGCGATTTGATATTTTGGAAATAGACCTGCCGACCTCTATGAAGAACGGAACCATCCCGGCCTACACAATCCGAGGGAGGTCCAATCACTGCTGGGGATATGACACAACTAGGAAGATGCCACAACCATTAGTAAGGACCACGTGCAATATCTCAGCAAAGAGCAATGTAAGTAATTTATTTACATTGTGCCGCGATACCGACCTCTGCGACATACAACTCCATCCTCCTGCTCCCCCCACAACTTTGGCCACCACCACTGAAGCAAATTTGCAGACCACTACAATTCTACCTCCACCCATCGTGTAAGAAAATCTTTACTAATGTTACGAATATTTTATGAATAAAATGGTGCAAGGATAATTTGTTTTTAATTTTCATCTTGATTTTTTTTTAAACTTTATTTTTTTGTGATATTTTTCAGACTGAAGGTGAAAAAATCGGGCTCAGCTAACGTTGTGGCGGCTACCGGCATGTTGGCGACCGCTCTTGTGCTCTTGGCGATCCATCTTGTTTTCCCTGGTTAAAATGTCCCAAATATTCGGATTGTATTGCATACATATTTTATGTATTAAATTTTCTTGGGCTATGAATTTTATTAACCAAATCTATTAATCAAAACCGCAACCTAAAATTAGAGAAAATGAACTAATTTAAAAATAATGCAACTTCATTATACTATTCAACTCTTTGCTGATAATTGAATAAATAAAATATACAAGAATTTGTGGCTGATTTCCATTTGAACTTTTTTGAACTTATTGAGATTTTATTTTACGTACATTTCTCTGCACTTCTTATTCTTTCATTTATACATGCATAGCATATTCTTCATAAAAATACGAGGAAGTCGTCTAAAAGGTTAAACATAAACCATTACATAAATAAATGCATTCCCCGATCCATGTAAAATAACCTCAATAAGTCAACGCATGCAATTTTTCTTACTTCAATTTTCCAAGTACTAAAAATATGAACTTTCCGTTAACAAATTCATATGCATATTGCTTACAGACCACAATGCGCGTCACCCAAAAACCCACAGAAATATAAACCACATGTACGCATCTAAAATAATTTCTTAATATTTTAATTAAAATGCGGTGGTGAATATTTTATTGTCTTTTTGTGCTTGTGCAGGCCTTCAGTAAAGTTGTCAGGACAAGTTATTTCATGATGAAAAAAGTAAGCAGTATTTTTAATTGTTTGTCTCTAATTCTACTGCTTGGAGTCACCCAAGGTGTTGTCGGGATATTAAGGAACCTTATCACGGATAGGTGCATACAGATTGAAAAAGGCGAAAGTACAGACGTCGTGTCCGCTGTTCCTTGCACTTTGCGAGAGTCCACGACGAAAACGTACGACTGAACCAGTTGAATTACAATCTCATAATCCTTTAATTGAATGGATTCAATTCCATAATTATGTATTTTATTAAATAGAGGGGATCGTAATGGAGACAATCCTGAATGGTTACAAGTTGTCCCTACTTCCAAAAATGACCCTACAGCAGTTGAGCATACAATTCAGAGACATTTTCCAGATAACCTCGTATGCATACAGACTCGTGAAGAAGTCGTCACGACTGGAGATTGCAAATCGTCAGACGCAATTCTACTTATTAATAAAGTCTTGCGAAAAAATAACCGGGGACCAAGTTACGAGCGAATGTTCCCCGGACCAATTTTCACAATAGAACAGTCCCACACGAATAAATGTCTTTCCGTTGTCCCAGGTACGACCGAGTTGCAATTGACAAACTGTTCTCAAAATAATGGTTTCCAAAGATGGATTACGTGTCGAAATTTGGGGGCGTGTGATGTGGAAATCTCGTGGTCTCCTGCACAAATAATTTTTCCAACAAGTCAAAATCGCCAAGATGACTTTAAGACGGTTTCTCCAAAACTCCAAACGTCTCGTCCGTCTTTATCAATGGTACCAGCAAAGACAATGCAAAAGCTGGTACAAATTCAGCCCTCGTTTGAAACACTAACATCAACAGCGGCATCAACAACACAGATGCACAGCACATGTAGCAGTGGCGTTCAAACTTGTCCCAAAATTTTTGTCAACGAACTTTTGTACTTTGTCCACAATGCTCAGATAATGAATTTGGAGGATAAAAAAATTATAACAATTATCTCAGACTTTTACAGTCGAAAACTACAGGGTGATGCATTGGATCTATTAAAAGAGAATTTTGTCATTGATGTTGACCCCCGGTCAGAATCTGCCCCTAAAGGAATTCAAATAGTGCATTGGATGAAGCAATTGACAAAACATGGAATGAATTCGGATGTGGTATTTGCATCGAGACGTTTATCTGGTCTCCCTCCAATTTTCACAGTTGATAATAACACACCGGAAATACAGGGTCGGCCAAATCGTGAGAATTTAGAAAAACTGAAAGATCGAATAGAAACAAGTTTAAATTTAATCATGGAAAAGTTGAAAGACTTTAAATCTGAGGTTGAATCAGACTTGGGCTCAATGTTGGCAAAAACGTCATCTTCATACTCGTCATCAGAAGGATCCAATACATTTGATCCTGCTTCTGACGACACGGACATGATAGGAAATATCGATCTTAGGACAGGACAAAGCAATAACTCACGTCGTAGATATAAGAAATGATTCTCAATGTCAAATTCTAATTCAGTACCCAGCTAACATAGGAATAATAAAGTTATGATAAAGTAATCATACAAAAAATCTGTGGTTTGATTGTTTAGTTGTTGGAATATGTGATTTGATATTTATTGGTTCCTTCCCCATATCACTACGTAACATTATTCATTCCAAATCCAGTAGCAAAATATTTACTCGTACAACCATGGGTCTTCAACGGACTTCCATTTAATTTGTTCCTCGGGTTTGAACCACAAGTTAATTTCTTTCTTGGCGGAGTCGACAGCGTCGGATCCGTGGATAATGTTACGTCCAACTTGGATAGAAAAGTCCCCTCGGATGGACCCTGGAAGGGATTTGGCTGGGTCGGTCTCTCCCAACATCATTCGTCCCATCTTGACAACGTTAAGTCCTTCCCAGACCTATAAAATAGATTAGATATTAAATTAGATATGTAAACCATTTTAATGACACTATTGACGAGAAGTGATAGTAAAAGAAGGGGTTTCCTTATATCCATGTACATACAAATGTGATTATTATTATTATTTCTGCCTACCATTGGAACAACTGGACCGGAAGCCATATACTTGACAAGTCCATTGAAGAATGGTCGTCCAGCCAAATCTTCATAGTGCTTCTTAAGAAGGGCTTCATCCGCCTAAAAAATAAAAAAAAACATATTAAAAATTACAATTTATTCATCACAACTTCATATACCATCTCTTCCTCTTAATTATTGTAGAAATTCTACTCACTCACAATAACAATGTTTCACACACTACACAATAAATTTACACGGTCCCATTATAAAAACCAATGCAAAATTTGAAACAATTTCTATCACCAGATTGTTCAAGCTGGTGTGAGGCAGCCATTGCCAAGTGAGAGCATGGCTGGCAGTTTACTTACCCACATAAACTTCATGGCCACCAGTTTGAAGCCCTTCTGCTCGAATCGCTTAACAATCTCGCCCACAAGTCCCCGCTGGACTCCGTCGGGCTTGATCATGATGAAGGTTTGTTCCTTGTCTCCGGACATTGTTGTTGGCGATGAGGTGATAGTGTCACAGGGCGAGGTCAGAGAACAAAATTGATCTTGGTCGGAAGTTCTGCTCAGACCGAAGGTTGTGAGAAGAAAGAACGAGAAAAGTGCCAGAGCCGGCCGGCCACCACCTAACCCCATCCTGCACATAGTCTGCTCTTCCATCCTCTAAAACCCTCCATATATCTCTCAAATATACTCCCTGCATTGCAATAATGCTCCTCCATAAACACCACACCAGAGTAGATGAACCCGAGCGATGTGTTCTGTTCTGAGGCTTTTTCGAGGCAAGCATTTAATCGCATCAACTATCTAGTCTGTGTTCCACCAGCCAAGCGAATTGCAAATTCTCCAGGGACAATGCTTAATATACTAAAATTGATGATTCATACTGGACAGGAGATACATTACTGATGTGATGTACTTGTATAACATGAGGATCACTGCAATTTTATCTGGATGGAGTTTGATTGCATCCTTTTAGTCGGACATGGATGGCTGATGGAAACATAAAAGCAGTGCAATAATAGCATAGCAGACTTTCCTAAATCTAGCTTTTATTTTATGGCAGTATAAATATCATGTTTTTATTATGAGATCACCATTCATCATTATTGCGTACTAATTGGTTATGGATTGATTGCACGGGTAATTAACAAGGATCATTATCTAGAGTTATGATTGTACTCGGTGATTTGATTGTGTATGAAAAAATGCTTAGAATATGTACATCTGAGCTTCACGGGACGTAGGTCCAATAATTGTGGACTCGGTGTACTCAATATTGTTGCTGGGTCGATACTCCCTGCGGAGCATGGCTTCATGACCTATGAGCAACCTTGGCCAGGGATTGTAGCGTTGTGGCGGGGTGACGACGCGACTTCGGTCATACAGATCACAAGTTGGTGGATCTGGATCCCAAAATCCGGATTTCACAGCGGTCGAATAACCGCTTGGCAGCTCATACACACTGTCCCAAAATAGCTGATGGGAAGGTCGATCGAATCTGGTTTTGGTCATAATAACATTATTTTAGTAGAAACAAAGTCAATTTATTGATTGATCTCTCTACTCCTTATTATTATTATTATGATGACAATGATAGTATAATATTATTGATGATGCCTTCTGGCTGGACTTACTGTTCTCTGGTTTCGCTGAGATAGGATCCAAAGCCTTGATCCATATTGACAGTGGAAATGTTGCTATGTGGCTGTCGACATGGGTATCGGGATGAAGTGCATTCAAGAGGTCGTTTTCTGCGCAAAAGTTAATGGGAATAATATATACTTTAGTGTTCCTTCTTATGAATAATAAATGATAAAGAGGGAAATAGGAATATATAAGATATCAAAGACGATGAGGAGGAGAGAGTAATTCAGAACACTCGGAGAATAATCTGGATGAGGCCGAGGAATTTTTTCGTGGTGTATAATATCATTGATCATTCAGGGATTAATCATCATCCATCTTTATCCTTCACCCTTCTTTCCTGTTGAATGACTTTTACAATGTGTATGGTTGGGCATCATGTCATATCATTCAACAAAATGGTACCACATAGTCGAAATGTGCTGATTCTCTTTGAGAATATGCACAAAAAACAAGTCTCGACAATGGAATATTATTATTATATTCCATCCTTATTTTTGGTTAATAGAACATTTTTGGAGCCAACCATTGCCCAATCCATAATTCACTCGACCCAGACAATAATACGTACTTGACGAAGTAAAGAAAGGAGAGGTATTATTTTATAACGACAAAAAGATAAATAAATCACTTACGGAATCCAGTCATTTGAGTTCTGCAAGTGATCGTTAGCCATAGGTCGGTACATGTTGTTTCGAGGTGGAACAAAACTGGCGAGACGCATTGATTCAGCACCAAAATGATGGGGCAATGATGGCTGAAGTTGAATTATTATTATTATGATTACTGTTAAAAATACATAAATATAACGACATAAAAGTAACTCACAGGGGGTGGATTGAAATCATTCTGGTAGGTGCTGTGACCGTACACATTTGGAGAAACTTTTCCATTATTGTGGAAGCTCCACCGGTTGCGAAGATCCTCGAATGGGTCTTAACAATTAAATGCATCTGATAAAAAATAATTTAAAAGTATTGTTCTTAAGAACGGATCTCTACTCACCATCACTCAACCCATTACCACCAATGACAGTCGTCTTCTTGTTGGATCCACCACCACCACCACCCCCAAAAAGAAGGTCGCCCATTGAAGTTTTTGGTCTGCAAATTGGACATGTTATTTACGTTCCATTTCACGTTATTATTCAATCATTTAAAATAATAAGCATTAATGATAAACTTTGTCCTGAAATGTTCTTCTAGTTTTGTACCTGTTTGGGTAACGCCCACTGATATCCGATTTGTTTAGTGTGGACCATTGTGCAGTCGACCGTTGGAGATCGGTAAAGTAGGGGTTCAAGGTCATCCCTTGTTCATTCGTCTTGCGTCCACCATAATTGTTCTCTAAACAATTAAAACATTCATCAATTTAGTATTTTTAATTTGACAAAATCCTTCTCAAGATTATTTCTTACCTGGACATCTATAACGATCATCATTGTCCATGGCGCTGATTGATTGAATACTACAAAACGGTACAAAACTGGCGCGGCTTTTTTGGGTAATGTTCTAATTAATTAAATTATCGATAAGTCTTTTTCTGTTTACGAAATTACGATACAAAATTTGTGACGAGGACAGAAAATAATAAAAAAAATGTTATGACTTTTCAGTTGGATTGAGAATGAGACGTGTATATGCACAGCAGGAACGACCCAGCAGGTTGTAGAACATGTTGCCATGAAACTCATCGTCGTGAGTGAAAAGTAGTGAAAAATCTGTCAGCGACATTGATTAAATAAACTTATCAGTTGTTGTTGCAGGGAATTTCATTTTCTGTGGAAAATGCAACTATTGTGGAGATTTTCTAGTTTTGATTTGCAAAAAATGACAATCAGTTAAAGAATTGTTCAATTAGGATAATTACTCGTTTTCTTTTCTCCTGGCATTTATGCCTATTATTATTTTTATTATTATTATTATTTGCGCATTATTGAATAAGAAGGTTTTGGTTCTGGTGTGGAACATGTAATCCATTGTCATCAAAGTTGTTTGTTGTATATTTTTTGACACACTGTGAAACAACTGTTACACGATGGCAGTTAAATTATTACACAGCCACAGCTCTTTTTTAAGCGACCATCATGATGCGTCTTTTTGAAAAGAGTCAAAATTGCATATCAATCAAATTAATGGAAGTAACAATTCCCTCGCAACAATGAAGCTGAGAGACTTTCATATTATGCTTGATATGAAATTAAAGTACAAATGCTTTTTATGTTTGCTAAAGATAGCAAAGTGTTCTTTATGGTGTGATGACAGCGGATGAATTCATGGGAAAATCTTAGCAGCCAATATGCATATTTACATATCACAGCTATGTATAAATAAATGCATACGGATGGATATTGAAGAATGGAAATGAGAAATGAGAAATGGGCAATTGAAAGACATTTTACACGGTGGGTTACTAATAAAAGTCGTGCATTATTTATTTAGAGGGTGTTATTGAGACGACATCCGACCAATCTCAATGTTAATATCAACACGACACGAGTATTCATGCAGAGAACTCTTATTTATCAGATAATAAGAAGCAGGACACAAGTGCACACAGGTGGATTTTTTTGGCTGATGCATCTTCTTTTAGCTCACTCGAGAAAAGTGAATGTGAAATTATTACTAGATTGAAGCGAGTAATTAGCAATCAATTGATCAATCTATTCATGGCTCAATGAGCAACATGAGATTTTGAATGCAACGAAAGTACAAGTAAGAAAAATGCACTTACACGACACGTATTTGTCAATCTTTGACTATGCACATCATAATAATAATAAGCTGAACTAACAATGAGAGATTTACAAGAAAGTTCAGGTTATATGGAAAGTTGTCAAAATTCACCAAGTGCACAATTCAGGCTCATCTCATCGGAGAAAAATAAATTGGTATTTACGGATGATTGATAGGCATGAATGGGAAAAAAGAAACGCTAAGTAAAGAGAAAAGCCAAAAACGAATGCATACACATATATTTAATAAACCACTTTTTAACCATACGAGTGATGTAGACGACAATGTAGGAAATAAGTAAGGATATGCATTGGTCATTGGGCTGCATATTCGACCCAAGTAGATCACGGTGCATATTCTTTTAGGGTTTTGTTGGGTATGTGAGGGTTTTGTGTGGGGTGCTGAACCTTGTGTATTTCTGATAAATATTTTATACAGATTATGCATGTAAATACCCTCATTAAGAGAAAAATCATAGCCATCATTTTTAAGACGGATATAACTCAAGGGCAAGCCTCAATGTAAAATTTGGGATGACGGACACTCGCTAAACCCACGTCTTTTAGCTGCTCAAAATTTCATTCTATTCGATTGAGTGTAAAAGTCGTATATAATCCGAGGGTAAAAGTTGCAGTGTCACTAAATCTCGCCCCTAGCCCGCTTTGGCAACACATATTTAAACATTATATTTCACGACGTGGTCTGCTCCAGCCATCCTTCTCCTCCTTATTAAATTTTTGCACTTCAGCAATGTTTTCAGTAGTTAAGTTTCTTGAGGATAAGTCCGTACAAGCCGTTCCTTCCAGTTGGGTTAGCCAGGACAAGAAGACTTGTTTATGGCCACCAGGATTGCCATCATCTGTCTCGGCCTCTATTAAAAGGCGCACAGAGCCGGAGAAACACTGGACGACAAATTCAATTAAGTTTTACAAAGTTGCAGGTGGGTTATTTTATTTAAATACATTAATACAATTTTGATAAATTACACGTTAGATAAATAATAATAACATACCAGTAACAAGTTTCAATGAATATTTAGATTCCCTCAAAGAAGCTAAAAGATTCGAGTTGGACGCGACCGCCGACAAGGTATTGGACACAACAGATGCCGAGGACATTGTATTGAAGAGAAAAAATTCGAGTACCAAGCCAGTTCTCCCAATTAAGCGTCATAAGTCAACTCATTCGAAAGAATCCACCTCTTCCGATAATGATGATGAGTTATCCTCAGATAACGAGACTAGTTATGGATCAAGGAATTTAGAAATAAGTAACGACTGCAATATTTTCTCTCAAGCAGGTAAGTAAAGATTTCGATTAGATTTTTTAATTAATCGTAATTTTCCTTATTTGACCTCCTAATTTCATACAGTACATGCATAATGACTTATTTTATTGTTTACAGAACTGTACAGTGCCAATTCAGAAGCTCAAAACTTCTCCACGTCTTCCTTTCCAACATCAAAGTATACCCAAGGTTCCGGGGAAAAGTTGGGAGAAAGTGGGGGCACTTTGATTTCCGCTGGTCCAGATAATCACTCTCTTGGATCCTCTCAATTTACTCCATTGGTCGAGGGAGACAATTTCATTCCTACTTCTGGTTTGTCCACCCCAAAATCAAGCCAACTCTCATCTGGCTTAATTCATCGCCGCAGAAACATTCGAGAAACTGGTTGGGTTTTAGTCATAATTATTTAGGAGCAACATGATAATTTTATTTTCATTTCAGAATCCTTTGAAGAGGTTGTTCTTCGAAAATTGAGCGAAATTCAATCAGATATTCGAGTGTTATTTTCCCGTTTAAGCTCACACCAAATTGAAACCAACACAATTGATTTACCGGTCGTTCTGCCCTTAAATGACGAAGAAAGCGTTGATGAATTGGAGGCGTGGATTGAAACAGATTCAAACAGGAGATCTTTAGTAAGATAAAATTAAATGCTTATATTTACATATTTATCTTTGCTTAAACATTTGTTTAAAATTATCGATTTTCATTATGTTGTTTAGGTTAAGTATTTATCAAGCCTTGGAGGAAGAAAACCGGAAAAAATCGTATCTCGAATACTCTCCGAACTTTTTACACCACCACTTGCAAGAAGGTTTAATTACAGTGGGGGAGGCTCGCTTGGGCGACAGGCATTTTCAGTTTTGAAACTGAAGATAGCATTGATTGGTAAATTATGTAACATAAATATACTATTTATTAATTTATTAATTTAGATTCGGAAAGTATGAACACAGCTTTATTTGTTATTGATATAGATGCAACCAAGCTGAATAGAATTGCAAGTGATACAACAGTAGATGCGATCGAGACAACGATTAAAAACTGGTTCAGGAACGCTCGGGATAAAGGGGAAGGTGGCAGAAAAAGAAAAAATGTATCAACGACAAAGAAGGGATATTCGAAAGGAGGTTCAGGAGCTGCTTCAAAACATGACGCCACGCCTTTCACACAATGAAGACTCGCCAAGTTTTGATATAGTTTATGTAAATAATTGTATTAGTAACGGATTAGAATTCGACGGATCCAGCAATTCAACCTCAGATTTAGAATTGATTAGTAGTAACGAATTAGAAAAGGCTAACCTAGCAAAACAGTTAAAAATTTGGAGTCTCCAAAATAACATTACTCACTCTGCATTATCAGAGCTGCTTCAAATTTTAATTCCCTATGTTTCGTGTCCCCTGCCGAAATGCTCTAAAACTCTCCTCGCCACTCCTAGGGTTATTAGCATTGTTGAAATTGGCGGTGGAAAATTATATAATTTTGGTTTGCAAAAAATTGTAGAATCTGAAATTATAAATGGACTAATTGATTGCGATTTCCCATTAGTTCGAAAATTAGTTTCAGAATTTAATACAAATGAGAAAAAAATGTTAACACTTTCAGTTAGCACAGATGGTATTCCAATTGGTGAGAGCAATGGTGTGCAATTTTGGCCTATTTTGATACGATTAGATCAGGGTAAAAGTAGGGAGCCCCGTCTTGTTTCATTATTTAGGGGCGAAAATAAGCCAAGTTCTATTTCCGAGTTTTTTAAATATTTTGTGGAAGAAGTTAAATTTTTGCAAGATGTAGGGTTTACATATAATTCGGTACAATATTTTGTTAAAATAAGTGTCGTAATTGCTGACGCGCCAGCTAGAAGTTTTGTTAAAGCCGTAAAAGGTCATACTGGTTATCATAGTTGTGAGCGCTGTGAGGAAGAAGGAGACTATTTGGAGAATAGGATAGTATTTTTGGGCTCAAATGCCAATTTAAGGACAGACATTTCCTTTATTAACAAAGTAGATTCTGATCATCATATTGGCAACTCCCCGTTAATAGATTTAAATTTAGGCTTAGTCTCGCAAGTAGTATTAGACTACATGCACCTAATATGTCTTGGAGTGATGAGAAAACTGTTTTACATATGGGAGAAGGGTGCGCTTCCTAATCGACTTCCATCTCGTGAATGGAATAAATTATCAGATAACTTGGTGTCTGTTAGTAAATTTGTTCCTTCAGAATTTACAAGAAAGCCAAGAGGTCTGAAACATTTACATCGCTACAAAGCCACTGAGTTTAGGCAATTTTTGTTATACGTTGGGCCAGTAGTTTTGAAACCAATCCTTTCAACAAAACTGTATAAGCATTTCCTGCTGCTTCATTCCGCCACATTTATTCTATTGTCCAACAAATCTCATTTACCGTTATGGAATGAAAAGGCTAGGTCTTTTTTAAAAATATTTGTCGATTTAATGGGAGATTTGTACGGGATTTCCACAATGTCCTATAATGTACATAGTTTGTTGCATGTAGCAGATGATAGTTTAAACTATGGGAATTTGGATAATGTGTCTGCATTTCCATTTGAAAATTACCTTCAGAAATTGAAGCGTATGGTCAGAGGGAAGACACGAGAGTTAGAGCAGGTAGTGAAAAGAGTCACAGAAAAAGAGAGCTTTAATTTTCTGACTTCAAATCGGTCAAAGTTTAAGCCTAAAATTCGTAATGATGCGTATGTAAAAATCTATACTAAAACTAATATTGTAATTACTTGTAACAAAGGTGATAACGTATTTTTGTTATCATCGGGAGAAATTGTAAAGGTGACCGAAATTTTGAGCTCTGATAGTTTAATGTGTCAAGTTTTTGTTTCTAGAAAGGTAGCAAAATATTATCCACTAGATAGCTCGGAGTTGATGATAGTCATAATAGATATATCTAAGTTAAGTTTGCCTAAATTAGTAAGCCTTGACGAAATTATTGTAAAATATGTATTTCTACCAATTCCAAACAACCAAAATTTCTTTTGTATACCTATGGTAAAAATGAGCTTGGAATAAATAAATAAAACTTTGAAATTTTGCGTACAATTTTGCGTATTTATTGGGGGATTTGCTTATCGTATTATAATTTAGGGAAACGCAGGGGTGGAACGAGTGGAATACACGCATAGAATGCATGTAACTGATGAATTTGTAGCAGAATTATATGCGTGGGTTACACGATGAAATTGTGAGGGTGTTATCGCGTATAACCCACTGCGTCGTGATTTTCACTTTACAACGTGTTTTAGAGAATTTTTGTACACGTCTAAAACGCACGTAACCCACATAATTTTTCTGCCTGGGGAGTCAGTGTGACATATGGCTTTTTCTCGTCGTCTTCTTTTCTTTAAATGGAGAGAGAGAGAAACATGAGATTCGGTGACGAATGAAGTAACAGATTAATAATAATAATATTTCTCAAATGGCATAACAAGGTGTCAAGGAAAGTGATAAGTATTCACAGGACAAATTTCACATTTTCTCTGAAGTGGATTTGAATGAGTTGGGGTTGAATAAACCACAAATTTCCGCATGTTCATACATAATGTTTGGTGTATTTATATATCCATTATGCATGTCGATGGGATGTAGTGCCTCTCAAACATTGTGCATTTTTTCGTACATTTCTTCTATTTTATTTCATTCTACTATGCATTTAAATAGAAATTTATCATAAAGTGCATCCGTAGCCAAAGATAATTTCTGCAGTCAAGAAGAAATTCAATTGTAGGGGAAATGTCGATCATCAATCTAACAATTCAGTCTACTCACGACATGATTGCACAGTATCGAATTTCGTAACAATGAGATGAGGTTTACTATACATAAATATATGTTGCAATATTAATCAGGCAACAATAACTCATTTGATGTTCCATAACCTCGTGATGCAGATTTGCACTTAATAAGTTGCATTAAAGTTCATTTTCAATTGTGGGCCAGAAACCAACAATAACTCACCTCACACTACTTAATACCTATATATAAATATATTTGCATATTACAAACACTCACCTCACCTCACATTCAAGAGGCTGCTTTGCTTATAAATAAGTGCTTGAATATCTAAGAGGAACGTAACGAATGTACATACCCACCACCGACGACCGCATACATAAATGCATAATAAATATACCGTCGTTGTTACAAATTTACAATTCAACTCGGTGACGATGCAGATATTTATGGACAAAGGGCTGCATCCGACATTCATATCGAATTTGCATGTTAATTGTTCAATACTCAAAACTTACTTATTGCCTCATACTCACTTAACATTTGTTAACCCCAAAAACTGCAATCCTTCAAGCTGACCTATTTTGAAAATCCCTTAAGTACATTGGATATCCATTACTTGACAAAGGTCAAAAAGATGACTTGTTGTCAATAATGCAAACAAAGGACAATTTCAAACAAATCCAAACTAGTAATCTTCACGTTGAGCATTCAAATCCATCTAAATATTTACCCAAGTATACAAACCAAGGACTTTTTACTAACAAAAAGCTGTACATACAAATAAATGTGCAGAGTCAATACACAAATAAAAGTGAAAATGAAAAATTCAATGATCCGAAATGACGAAATGGGGAAAGTACATACACAAAAATGAGGTAGAAGCAGCAGAGGCAGTAATAAATAGGGCAACTATTTAATTCACACACTGAACCCTTATTGTCAGAATTATGGATTTCAACATGCGATCGTTGCATTATACATTTGGCTTCGGTTGCAGTTTCGGATGCAGAGAGTTTCTGTTTGATGTGATTAAAAGTAGGTGCTCGACATGAAAGCATTTCACTTTATTTGCAAATTGATACAATCGTTGAATGAAGAAGGAAAGGAGGAAGTGAGAAGGAAGAGATTTGGAGGAAGTGATTACGTGGCTGCTATATCAAACAGTCACAAAACTCTGTAGTTTTAATCTAATTAAACTCAAATTAAAAGAGTCTTTGTCTAAGGTCTTAATTGAATTACTCAATCTCGTCGTCATCTCCTGTTTAGCCAACCGTTTGATCGTATAATACTGATTGCTTGACAACCAGGACTTTTATTCATTTTGGCTGCGATGATGCGATCATGATGACGATACCACTCAGGACAAGAACATTTCACATGAGAAAGAAGAACAGTGACCTATTCCACGAGTGTGTGCAGAGCATCCTTGGTACATACTCGTTGTTTTATTGGTAGTTTCAGCAGTATATGACAAGTGACAAATGGGCTGTTTCCTACATGTTAACTCCTCAGTCTGTAATATAAGTACGCCAACTTTACAAATACAAAGTTTTAAGGACCCCGAGATTTATTTTTTATATTTCGACTCATTTACGGACATTACACGACCATATCTCCTTGAATCTCCTTGACTTGAACTTGAGGCAAATTAGTGAAAAAATTAGATGTCACAAAATTAGCATAAATTAGTTTCGCGTCAAAATCGATCATTCTCGTGACCTCATATGTACGTCCATACGTACGAGTCGCAACGCAACGCAATTCTTGAGAAGGTTCTCCAATCTCTTTTCTTACAAAATGTTTAGTAAAATCCGTAGTCGACGCACATAGTGCTAATTAACGTAGTGCGAGCAGAACATATTCTTGAGATTCGCACGCAGTAAAAAAAAAAGTTAATCAGTGTGATACCGCAATTACTAGAATAATATCTGCGTCCTCCGTCAACCATGCTCCCTTAGGCTCCCTGACGAGAAATAACAATAGAACCTCGTGGTGTTTACCTCAGAGATGAGGAAACATCTTCAGTTTTGCCAACCTACTAACTAATTCTTGTAAGTATTTAGTTCTTTAGTTTTGAGGCTGCGGCCACTCAAGCGTTCCATTGTCAAAATCTTTCTCTGTTTGTGGCACCACCACACAAAGCATCTTTTTCTCATTATATAATACATCATGCTAACAATTGACTTTGCAATTGTGCGTGTACTACGCTGCGACGTAATTAAATGGACTAAAATGACTCAGATTTGCACAGAATATAATTCTAGAATTTGTCTTTTGCATAGTATGCAGTGCGAAATCTCATCATTCGTTACTACTCTTATGTCGGTTTCTCTGTGACAAAAATTGACAATGGTAATGAAAACAAAGTCTGCAACTTACACAGTTACTTAGAATTGAATTCTGGAAATAATGAGAACTCTTTGATTATTTGGGATGCAATAATTAGTCACGTTGAATTACTCTAATTATGCACATAATTTTAATTACATGGAGATGAAAAGCTATCGAGTATATACATTTTGATAACAAACTCTACCGAAAAATATACTTTGGTAAGGCAAAGTAATTGCGTAACCTATTTTTCTAGAAAAAACCCTTAGGTTACAAGAGTTGAAGATCAAACGAAATGAATTTGCACTTGAGATCAAGCCATCGTCATGCTATACACTCAATGACCACAGATTTTGCAAACAACGATTGAGAAATTCTGTCAACCAAGCGCCACATTAATTAATACATATATATTTAAAATGATGAAATAAAGGCTCCCCATGGAGGCTACTGGATGGTTAATTAAATTTCTTTCATGGAACTTGCCCACAAGATAGCGACCCACAGAGGAGGAGGATGATTAAGGGCTGATGGTGACTTGACAATTGATTGACTTAATAATGCCTGAATGCAAGCGTAACATTGCAATAGCAACGATAACAATAAGTAATACATAATTTTGTGGTTCTCCTCATTTAGTTTTAGAGTGGAAGATTATTTGTTTGACTCGAATGTGGAATTTTGACGGACGAATTATTGATTTTTCTTCTAGCGGGATTTAACAAGGGTTATCAAATTGAAACTGAAAGGTGTCAATGTCGTTGTTCGGTTGCACACTTAATTGAGGCATTGATGTCAAATTCTACGTCTAACGTCTGGGACACCAAAACCAAGCCAGTAATGAGTTTAGTTAGCAACCACCGCACACACAGAAGCCGTTTGTCGAGATGATGATGATAAATAGGATGGGCCTCAGCGACACCCATTCCTACACCAGTGCCACAAGTAGCGTCTCTAGCTGAGAGTTTTTTTAAAAGTGAGTCAATCGAAAGGATAATCGAAAGGGCTATAAATACTCAGCATGGTCACATCACGTCACAGTAACCGTCTTCAAGTCGACGATACACTACAACGACTCCCTGTTTCACTGTTATTACATCACCACAACAATCATGGTGATAATTCTTAAGGTACATGAATAAAAAAAAACGAGATCGGACGTGATCACATTTAATTCTAAAAATCGGATCTAAAGTATTTTTATTTGAGAACGTTTCTCTCTGTGCTTGCATTAAACTGTGAACAAGTGTTAAAAATAATAATAATTCATAACACCATGTTTGCATTATATTTTTGTCAGGTCACAGTGTTGCTATTCCTGGTTGGTTCGTCCACCGCTTTAAATCGAAATAAAAGAGGATCCTCAGGAGGTGGTGGTGGTGGTGGGTGGGGCGGAGGCGGTGGGGGAGGAGGAGGAGGTCAGTAACTATTGATTCATTTTATCTACGTTCCCAGTATGCAAAATACAAAGATTTTTTTTAAATTCAATGTCATATACAAAAAAATTCCTTAAAAATCTCCCCGAAACACAAGCTACCCTCTGAAAAAAATGCTACGATTGACCGAGTGACGCCGAAAAACTGACATTGGAACTTTATATACATTTACATGAGCGAAGGAGGTGGTAAAGGTGGACTTGGAAAACTGACTTCGCTATTCAGTGGATTCGGGAAGGGAGGAGGAGGAGGAGGCGGAAAGGGGGGAAGTAGCAAGGGTGGAGGAGGTGGGGGCGGTTGGGGCGGTTGGGGCGGCGGCGGCGGTGGTGGCGGAAAAGGCGATGGTGGACAGGTTGGATCATCCGGTTACATCGTAATCACTCCAGTGGCATCAGGTTCTCACAACATGACCTTGCTTGACTCACCAACCCGTACTAACTGAAAACTTCACAAGCCCCATAACCTCTAACGGACCTCTGACGCGTATTTTACAAGTGGACCTCTTTGTTCACAAAACATTCATAATTCAATGTGACATTGTCTTACAAATTTTTGCAGGGGGATCCTCCGGTGGTTATGGTGGCGGTGGTAGTGGTGGAAAAGGAGGACTTTCCGGAGGTATATATCGGCTTGCATGTAACTGTTTGTTGTCATTCATTTTCATACAATCAAAGCTATTTAAATATGTTATACCCTGGTTAATTTTTCGTTGTTATTTGCTGGAGTACTTTGTGTACTGAGATTTTTTAAAATATTTGAATGAAAAGAAATGGGACGTATGCAAATTTAGTTTTCACTCCCTGTGATTAAGCGTGTCATTGGACGTACACTTGTGAAAGGGAAAGCCGGAAGAGAGTGAGAGTGATTGAATGAAGTTGGCAATGATGGTATTTTAGGTGGTGCAATAGGAGGATATTCGTCTGGTGGTTCTTCATCTCAATACGGTAAATACTCGTAGTTTTTTATGCTCAACAAATATTAATAATCTTGTAATCAAAACTTACTGATTGAATATTGACTACAGGGGCCCCATCAGGGAAAGCTTCTCAGGGATATGGTGAATTGCATAGTGCAGTAACCTTTATCACGTCGCACATGTATGTAACCCAATAAATTTTCTTTGAAGGAGCACCCGCATCCGGTGGGTACTCTGGTGGCGGCGGTGGGTCATCCGGTGGATACTCTGGCGGCGGCGGCGGCGGGTCAACCGGTGGGTACTCTGGTGGTGGTGGCGGATCATCTGGAGGGTATTCAGGAGGCGGCGGCGGGTCATCTGGAGGGTATTCTGGTGGTGGTGGCGGGTCAACCGGTGGGTATTCTGGTGGAGGTGGCGGGTCAACCGGTGGGTATTCTGGTGGAGGTGGCGGGTCAACCGGTGGGTATTCTGGTGGTGGTGGCGGGTCAACCGGTGGGTACTCTGGTGGTGGCGGCGGGTCATCCGGAGGTTATTCAGGAGGCGGCGGGGGGTCATCTAAAGGATCCTCCCAGTATGGCGCACCATCGGCCCCACCATCAAATAATTATGGAGCTCCTTCCGGTAATTGCTTGCATTAGAAGAATTATAAGCGAAACTCGAAACCGCTTATTGTGAATGTTAGACTCGTATTCATCATCGTCTGGAAGTTCGTCCTTTGGAGGACCAAGTGGACCAAGTGGGGGGTACTCTGGCGGATCACAGCCAAGTGGGGGTTATTCTGGTGGATCAAGTGGGGGATACTCTGGTGGTGGAGGATCCGGTGGTGGAAGTAAAGGAGGCTATTCGTCGGGAGGAGGATCTGGAAAGAGCGGTGGTGCTCAAGGTATTATTCACTATCTTAATGTACAATTTCCGTCGACTTCCAACTGATTAGATTGACACTACCTTCATCTCCCTGCTTGCACTGACTTTCCCAAAATAAAGGTTCTGATGTGCATAAGATTTTCTTAATAACTCGGGCACCGCTGCCTAATGCGTATGTGAGAAGTGATCTCCTCGTATTTTGACTTTTTGACAGGATAAATTTTAATTATTCACGCCAAAAAACAAGCAGATGGGTTATACGTTTTCCGTAATGTTCACGTTTTGACCTTGGCGAAGTTTAAAACAATTGACGACCAAACACGCTGGTTTTCATAACCCTTTAACTTTTCGAATTTTAACGCAGTCGCGTCAAAGTATGAACTTTTAATTAATCTTAAAATGAAAAAATATTCGATTGGAGTGACATACTAAATATCATATTTTTAAGATTTTCTAATCGCATCTAAATTCTTAAAGGTAATGCTTGTAAAACTAGCGCACTTTTTAATTAAAAAATGGAAATCGTGCATTCAGTTAAAAATAATTTTGATGGTCAAAATGCAAGTAATCAAAGATAGTCTAAAATTTAAATATATGAATTCCAGGGTATTCTGCTCCAGCCCCACAAAGCTCATATGGATCACCTCCGGCCCAAGAGTACGGTAGTCCATCTGGTGAGTCCATCAAAAGCGATAAGCGAATGTCAATGAAAAATGTTACCAGTTAGTTAACATTCAATATTGTAGGCCCAAGTTCAGGGGGATATTCAGCTCCTGCGCCCCAATCTTCTTACGGATCGCCAGCCGCGCCACAATCTTCTTATGGATCTCCTGCACCATCTGCGCCATCATCTTCTTATGGGTCGCCCGCTCCAGCAGCGCCACAATCTTCTTATGGATCGCCAGCGGCGCCACAGTCTTCGTACGGATCACCAGCTGCGCCACAATCATCTTATGGGTCACCAGCTGCGCCACAATCATCTTATGGGTCACCAGCTGCGCCACAATCATCTTATGGGTCACCAGCTGCGCCACAATCATCTTATGGGTCTCCAGCGCCACAATCTTCGTACGGATCGCCAGCCGCGCCACAATCTTCTTATGGATCTCCTGCACCATCTGCGCCATCATCTTCTTATGGGTCGCCCGCTCCAGCGGCGCCACAATCTTCTTATGGATCTCCCGCACCAGCTGTGCCACAATCATCCTATGGGTCTCCAGCAGCGCCACAATCTTCTTACGGATCACCAGCTGCGCCACAATCGTCTTATGGATCGCCCGCTCCAGCTGCGCCACAATCTTCTTACGGATCTCCGGCACCATCTGCGCCACAATCTTCTTACGGTTCACCAGCTGCTCCTAGTCAGTCTTATGGGAATTGCAAATAATCAGAAATTATAATAATTACCTGCGATATAACAAGTAATTTCAACTTTAGGTTCTCCTTCTGGTGAACAACCTGGATACCGAACATTACCTGAATCGGGTGGTGGACAAAGTTATGGTGCCCCTCAGCAATCTTCAGGCTCAGGTAGAATATGGTGTAACTCAACTTGGGTATTTAGTTTATTAATGTTAAAAATTGCAGGCGGCTATAATGCACCTTCAGGGCCTTCACAAAGTTATGGAAGCCCTCAGAAAGGTGGAAATGAAGGCGGTTATTCCGGTGGATCGTCGGGAGGTCAAGGGGGCTATTCAGGAGGATCGTCCGGTGGTCAAGGGGGATACTCAGGAGGCTCGTCAGGAGGTGGTCAAGGTGGATACTCGGGCGGGTCGTCAGGTGGTCAAGGGGGATATTCAGGAGGATCCTCGGGTGGTCAAGGGGGTTATTCAGGTGGGCCATCCGGTGGTGGCCAAGGGGGATATTCAGGAGGATCGTCAGGTGGTAAAGGGTCATCAGGTGGTGGGCAAGGGGGATACTCAGGCGGTTCGTCCGGTGGTTATTCAGGAGGATCGTCAGGAGGTCAAGGGGGCTATTCCGGTGGATCGTCGGGCGGTCAAGGAGGATACTCGGGCGGTTCGGCAGGAGGTCAAGGTGGATATTCAGGAGGGTCATCAGGTGGTAGCCAAGGAGGGTACTCAGGGGGATCGTCAGGAGGTCAAGGGGGCTACTCGGGAGGATCGTCAGGAGGAGGTCAAGGTGGATATTCAGGTGGATCGTCTGGAGGTCAAGGGGGTTATTCAGGAGGAGGTCAAGGGGGTTATTCAGGAGGATCCTCAGGAGGAGGTCAAGGGGGTTATTCAGGTGGATCGTCAGGAGGTCAAGGGGGATATTCAGGAGGATCCTCGGGTGGTCAAGGAGGATATTCAGGAGGGTCGTCGGGAGGTCAAGGGGGATATTCAGGAGGGTCGTCGGGAGGTCAAGGGGGATATTCAGGAGGGTCATCAGGTGGTGGCCAAGGGGGGTACTCAGGGGGATCTAGTAGCCAAGGGGGTTATGGTCGTTAATTTAGACAGTTATAACTTAATATCTTAAAATGCCAGAATGCATATTTTTGCAAAACTATATTTTTTGAATAAGTGATTGTTGTTGTTGATAATGTGTTGTAAATTGTATGAAAGTGTACCCAAAGATAAATAAATACGTGTGTATGGATGGGTGCCTGTTTTTACAGAAATACTGATGATTATTTTTTCCTATTTTTATGTAACTACAACCTCGAACATGAGAACCTCATATAGATTGCCATCAATATAATAAATACTACTCCCAAGTCTCTGCAGGGTTGGAATAATGTAAAGAAAATTAGGAAGAGATAAATCCCTAAAACCACCACGAGTTGGCCCAAAACGACTCGAACGGATGTAGCACATATAGCGCATTTCTCTCCAAGGAGAAAGTTTGGACACAAAGCACACCTTCTTCAATATCTGCCTGACGGAGGATGAGGAGGGCAAAGGAGTTGAATTTGATATTTGGGCCCAAGTGGGCAATAAATAAAGTGGCTGAAACATCCTTTATTAAAACTGTATGAGATTCGTGTACAAAGTATGTTGGTCATCATAAACCAACTGATGGAAATTGATTGGAGTTGCTCCTGCTTTCCCCACCACCACCAAAAGTAAGAGATTCGTCTTCACCTGGTCAGTCGGTAAAGGGTTAAAGTATTACGTACACATCGAGTTACATTTCCAAATGTCCACTGATAAAATAAGTCTCGTTGAATCATCAAACTTACTTTCGCTCCTGCCTGCTGCTGCGTGGTCGAAAATTCACAAGGAATATTATTTTATCCCGAATTGAAATGCGGAAGGTCATCCCATCTGCACTAAAACTTAAACTCAACTTATTGCCTCAACTCACGCGTTGGAAAAATGTGGTTCAGTTTATTACCTCATTTAAACAATCTGTACTTGGTTGACTTTGGAGTAACATGAAATAAAACGGTTCCCTTACACACACATATTATGACGTTGGTCTACAGTGTAGACTCTACAGTGTACATACACCAGAGTATTTGACAAAGCGAAAAAACGTGTAATTTCAAAAACTTCTTACTGCCAAACTCAAGCCTTGTACGGCAGAATATAAGTCGTGTGTAAAAGTATATCCATTTGGTAAGATCAATAATATGAAGAGTTAAATGAATCCCAAAATGGAGGGGTTTCAATGAGAGTGAAAGGAAGGATTGATGGACTGGTGGTCACTTTTTTATTACTTTCCAAAGTATTTCCCCGATAATAAATCTCTTGGTCCTGTAGAAGGTCGGGTTATTTTTCTCCGAGAATCTGACCTTGGTTGGGGATGGGAGTGAAATTTACCTAAAATGATGATGATGATAAACGGATATGTCTATCTCATACTCATTTGGAGTAATCCTTATATACCTCAGATACTAAATAATGAGGGGTAGAGAATCCAAGGATTTCTATTTTTGACCCACACTGACTCAGTATTACTCAGGAGACCATTAATAAAGAATAAAACATTGCCACTAGTTCAAAATGGGCACATACTACGCTTTAGCCTATAATTACGAGTCAATAGTATAAGGGCTAGTCGCCTTACTCGGAATACCCCATTTTCATAAGTACATAAATAAATACTACCATTTCACATGCATTTTTATCACTTGCACATCCCGTTTACATCCCTCACCTCTACTTAAGGACAGCAAAGAACGAGTAAATTAATAGATAAGACTACTTTTGCAGTGGGACACGAGTATCGCAAAACGATATTCGACGAGGAGGAGAAAGTCACTTGTTCATGTGCTATAAATCAGACTTGGACCACGATGCGATGTGTGTGTGGAGAAGGAATCATCAACTCACATCTCGCCCCTGCATCTGTCCTCCTGTCCTGGTCTTCCAACTGCTGGCGAACGTGGCGGAACGCTGGCTGAAGGAACAGGTTATTCTCAGCCTGGTTTGAGTGGGAGAAAAGTGTTGGAGAAATCGAGTACAGGGCTCAGTCGGGCTTCTCGTCTCCTCCTGACTGGTGGCACTTTGGGAAAGGTGGAAGAATTGTGATGTAGACCAAAAAAAGCTACCAACCTTACGACTGTCAGACAGAATCAAGAGAATCTCCATCATCAGTCTTTGAGACCTAGCTCATTGTGCGACAAAATGCTGTTTTGTGATCAAACCGGAAAAACGTTAGTAATTTAAATTGTACCAGTATCATTGTACAGTTTGTTGTTTGCGTTGGTTTTGTGGGTTGTTGGTTGATTCAGTTGTGGTGACAATTTGAAGTGAAAGCAGAAAAGAAAGCGGAGAATGACATTATTGTTTTAGTTTTTCGCCCTTATGAGAATTGTACTATTGTAGATACAATTGAATATTCTTGACTTGATGAAATTTATAAAAATGTGAAATTTATGTGTACAAAGTCATGCAACTGTATATAATAGTTATACCAGTACGAGTTGTACAGTAGTCTACCTTCGCCCCTTGTTGGACTTGTTAAGGAAATTAATACCTAGTTATTGGGTCCAGTCTCACCGGAAGCATAAATTTTGGAGGAAAATTCGTGGAAATTTTACAATTCCAGAAATCGGATTAAAAAAGTGCCCATCTCAAGATTGTAAGTCGTTTGGTTTTACAAGTTTGTTATGCATGTCTCTTGTGTCCATGTAGCTGCAGAGAAAAGTGAGACTTTCACTCTTCTTCTGCCTTGATCCACGTCCTGGTTTCATGAATCATTGCGACTATGCCTTCGTCATCATCATTATCTAAATTATCAAAGGGAAAGGAATGGACAAAAGTTTCGAAAATAAATATAAAATATATATGATCTTGCCTTGACTCGACCCTGGAATTGTCCATTAAGGCCAGAAATAAATTGGACAGCACCTGTCTGCTTATGCTTACCCGAATCCAGTTATGCAAAATATTGACCTTCCCCTCCCTCAATCTTACTACACAGGTTCAGATACCCAGACGACTATGCACATAGCAGGAGGAGTATGTTTAGTCAGTCTCTCATAATTTGCAGTAGGCGGATTGGATGATCTAATACTCATCTAGTCCGCAGTGGATAATCATATCTGGCTAAATGCCTCAGATTGCATAGGGCGGAATGAATTATAAAAAGAGTAATCCAATTCACTCACGAGTGGTTGACCACGGTTCTGCTATTACAGGTTGAGATCTGGAAATTATTCATGAACATACTTTTCAAATGAAATTTTTCATTTCTTTTGCAACTCTTTGTACAAAATGAGTGGGTTTGTCGACATAATGCCCACATATTCCCAGAGGACCTTTGGGGACGACTATGAGGAGGAGGAGGATGTAAGGCGAGGAGGAAGAAGAGGACTCATCATCGGGTGGTGTTGGTTCATAACGACCCTGGTTTTTCCTCTTCCTTCGGATTTGGATGCTACTTCTACTAACTAATGTTAAGAGGGCTTTTGAGCCACTCCAGACAGTCCTGACACGGAAAGCTCATTAGAAGAGAACATATTTAAGCCCGTCGTGCTCATTTGCATTGCTCCTTGAGCCAGGGACAAATGACAAATTCGTGTCGGCCGAGGATCAAATCAACCTGTTTCTACTCTACGACCATCATCATATCCAAACCATTCGAGCACCTCCTCGCCCAAATTGATTCTCTTGTTGTAATCACTTTCTTTCTTTCTCCCTCTTTGTCCGGATTTTTGTAGACATGGAATTGTGAAATGAAAAGTGTGATGGCGAATAAATGATTGGATCAACTTTCTTTCTTTGTCGAAGACGGAATGATCCCCACTCAATATCCAAATATGTAGGGTAACATCGTCCTCCCTCATCTGAACTTGTACGACTTGTGCAGCCCACCAGATCCGTATAGATATATTAATGCATAGCATATAATCCAGACAGACTTTGGCATGAAATTTGTACAAAATAGTAAAGATAAAGTTGAAGGGGCCACACAGCGAGGAAAAATTCTCATCCATATCCGTCTTATCTATGGACCAAGGAGTCGTCCCTTTTCAATTTTATCGAGGAACCATACAAGCAGTTTGTATATTTTGTGCCAGGGTCCAAGCTACACAAGCACACACATTGTATCTACTACATAGCGATTGCCCCCAGTTTCGAACAACTTTCTATCGCAAGTTATCCATGCCAGTTATACAAAACTAGAATTCCTTCTCCTTCTTCTTCTGGAGAAATTCCGTGTGGTTTCTGTCCAGTTCCGAGAGAGAGAGAGAGAGAAACTGCTTCTACTGCTGCTGCTGCTGGATCAGATGGAGTCAGATCCCAATCCAGTGCAAATTATGGAATTGATTGTGAAACAGGACGTGGGACGTGGAAGGAGTTGGAGGATCAGATATCGGGTAGCCTGGGATTGGATGGTGATGATGGTGATTATTATGAGGAGGAAGCCTGGAGGAGTCTGTTTTTGATATCAAATGGATCTTATCATGCCAGGGAATTTATTACCCTATTAAAATTGCCCCTGCTCCAAAACTTCCTTCAAGAAAATTACACTATTCTGTTCTGTCCCCCTTCTCCTGCCTCTTCGCTCCTCTTCTTATTCTCGTCCTCCTCGTCCTCCCCAACACGTTCACAACAGCAACATTTATATACGGGCTGAAAAGAGGGGGCTCCGAGGCTGTGTGTGCAGTTGTATCTCTGCGATGCTGGGTTCACGTCTGAAATCTTAAAATTTCTCATTGCATGAAATTGCTAATAACTTTGATCACTTCATTATGGTGAGGCTATCTGCACTCGGCTAAGCTATTAAATCCTATTTACTACATATGCTTGTGTATGCCCTGGGAGAGAGAGACAGAGGAAAGTGGAAAGGTATGTGGTGCCCGCCTTTCACGCTTTATCTCAGAGAATATCCAAATCGTAAAACTTTGTGGTGCTAGGAAAAAAAAGCATAAAATTGGTTATGAGATCTGTTCAGAAAACGACGTTATGGAGTTTGAATTTATTTTATTTGCAGCATCAATACTTCAAACTTCACCGTTTTATGTGGCCTTCACTGCTTTTCCTTTGGACTCGAACCTTTTACTGCCTCACAATCTGCAGCAGTGCGAGTTTAAACTCGAAGGAAAATAAAATGTTACTATTTCGTGGGTCGTCATAATAGTTATATAGACTCACTTTAGCTTTGGTAAAGTGATGGTGGTGTTGGTGGCAAGTGGCAACCAATAATTATTTTAGTCTCCACCTCCTC